TGTGTACAAAGTAGATTAAGCTATTTTAACCGCTTTCAGCAGACTTGATATTTTAGCAGCACCTATTTTCACACCATTTATGCAGGGCATTTTTGTACCTATCGGTTTTACATACATACGCTTGCTAAATAACAACTTTTTAAATACTAAGATAAACTGTGGCAAACACCATTTTTATTCCTGAAAATAAATGCAAGGATTTTAATAGCGTTAAACGTGACACCACCGCAATTTAAAATAACCTTGTTTCATTCATAATATACGTCACGGACGTCACGTATAGTATTTTATCCATCGATAGTTTGCGACGTTGCGATCCAGTAAATTGTTGCATTTTGGGTGTTTTTGTTAATCTTTAGACTTTTTTGGAAAAATGTCGGCTTGTGTATAGCTAACAACATGGTTCGCGAGTGCCTTCTGTGCAAAAAACTGGAAAATTGAAAAATGTGGGTGCTGAATTATCTTTTCATAAGTAAGTAAGGTTAGGTGATGATGTATTGCATTGTTCAGTGGTGTAGATTTAAAGATTTTTGCCGTAATATCAGATGAATTATCTACTTTTGTTTTACTATTATTTTCTTTGATCGGTCAACGTTAATTTCACAAAAAATTGTAATTAATAGAAACACTTTAGTCTGGACTATAGTACTAAAATAAATATGCTTATGCTTGATTTTTAGATTCCAAACTGAAAGGCATACAAGAAATATTTGACTATCACTTGTAGGACTTGAAGAAAATAAAGGTATCCAAAAAAGAGTGTTATGCTCGGAGCATTTTGACCCTAATATGATATTCTTTAAAAAGCAAATGTCGCGAAATATATCTTTGATTATTTTCATGGATTACCTTATTAATAATCAAAATGTATACTTACCTTTACATTAAAAGTTCTGAATACTCTGTTACAGCTCTGATTCCAGTATCAGTATTTTTGACAGCCCTAATAAGAAACCAGAAGATAGTTTATGCACACATTTATAGAAAAAACCTATTTATGGATGCTAATAAGTGTAAGTTAGTTTACTGGTTTTACAAGTTAACTATCAATGGATTAGATTTATTGTTGTCCATTTCTACCTTGTGTATGGTAAATTTATTGTTTTAATAACTTTTATAAATTTAGTATTAAAAATCTCTCATTTACCAATTTATAAAACTGTTCAAATTTTAACCCCAAAATTGGAATTGAAAATTTGTTTAAAATAAATCTTGATTTATGTATCTTGTTTTTAGTTTATTTTATTTAACATATTTATATGTAATAAATATTGTAATATTCTTGGAAAAAAAATAGTGTTTTTAAGTTTTTTACCTACATTCCACTGAACTTCATACCCTTCTTCCAAATCAAATCGGTTTTAAAGTGTAAACCATTATAAAGTTTATTGCACACCATATAGGTTAGTATTTCATTATTTTTATCCTATCGTCCTTCCATAGTTATAATGTCCTGATAGAATCTTTCTCCCTGTTCTGCACTACAATCACCGGAAAGCAATCTATAGGTGGTTGTGGAAATAGTAAACCATCATATATACCAGCTTTTAGTTTTTCCGTGCTAATCCAAGGAAACTTTACGTGACCAGTACCCAAAAGTTCCAAAACAATTTCCATCTCAATATGATAATATAATTTGTTCAGGAGATTTCAATTAGATTTGTTAGTAGATACAGCTGCGTCTAGGAATTTGCATAATATATTTGAATCGTTTGGTCTTATTTTCAGCACGTTTACAAACCTACAAGAATAAGTAAAACATCTGCCACTCTTTTAGATTTACACTTCTGAGTAAAGTTGAAAGTAACTACTTGCTGGTTAAACTATACTATTGTTTGTTAATCTGTCAAGTAAACCTACATATGTAACTTTACTCAGAGGTGAAAAGATCGACCCGTAATGATTTGTAATGACAAATTAAATATTAATGATTGTGACGTGTTCTATCGATAGAATTAAAAGTGACCATGGGTTTGTGAAGGCAACGGTTATAATTTCATCCTCGTAGGTAATAGCCATCATGGCCAGCTCGTTGAATAATATAATATTACTTCATCGCCCGGCGAGCGGTAAAGGAGTTCGCGGGCGATAAAGGGGCACTTTACGCCCGCTAAACGTATTTATAATCTGGACTTTATTGCCCGGTCCTGCATAAACATAATTAATACATTTTCTCTATTGCATTCTGTAAATATAAAAAAAGAATGCAAACTCTGGATAACTGAAAACTGATAAAAAGTATTGTAAAAGAGTTGACACCAAAAAAAAATCCAAATATAATAAATAATTTAGACGAAAAATGTTCCTTTTGTGATAAGACATCATAGCTTATTTATGAAAACATGCATGCCACATCTTGAGCTATATATATTTTCATTGTATTTAGACATCCAATACAATGGTATTTTTAAACAATTATTTTAAAAATACAAATGATAATGACAAAACAATCCAAGTTTCATATTGAAGAAAAACTTACAAACTTAATTATTACAACTTATTTTCTAAAATAATTGTTTAATTTCGGTCTAATAAATAAAAATCAGGACCGTTATTACTATTAATAGTGCGTCATTTATTATGACCAGGCGCGTAGCCTAGGGTTACCAGACGTCCGGATTTGCCCGGACTTGTTCGGGTTTTTACTTCGTCCGGTTGTGTCCTGGCGGATTTTACATAAGCGTCCAGATTTTGAAGTAGTTGTCTTTAACAACAACAAAAAATACAGAATAGTGTTAAACCCCCTAAGCGGCTGAAGTCAATGGAAACGGCGCGGCGACGTGATAAAATAAAAATACTTTTTCATTTGCTTTTTTTATCAGTAAAACCATTTGTCATTTAGGTTCAATTCCACCGTTGTGTTAAACAAAGGTTAAATTGCTAAACGAAGATTAAAATTACATTTTTACACTAACAATGTCATTTTAATCTTCGCATAGTAATTTAAACTTCGTTTAACACGTTGGCGGTGGAATCGGCCCTAAGTACCTAAATAATCTGAAAAATATCACCTTTCTTGCATTTTCAGAAGAAATTTTATAACGTCCAGATTTTGTCTGGATTTTTTTATAAACTTGTCATGGTTGCATAAGCTTTCATCTGGTAACCCTAGCGTAGCCCCCCCCTCCTTTTTGACCAGAGTATAATTAAAACATTAAAAATAATTGCAGTCTCATGAAAAATAGAAAGTAGGTATATATATGCTGCGTTTAAGTATCCACATCGGATGCATCTGAGATGTTGGGAATTTTTTATCACGTGATAGGTGATTAGATTTAAATGTAGATGTAATAAACAAACGCTCTAGACTTTATTGGTGACGTGATAAAATGACAATGACAAGTTAGAAGTTTATATTTTTTAAATTTGACTTTTGAGACTAAAAATCAACCTAAATTTGAAATCTTAACAAAAATTAAACAAATTCATTACTTTCACATTACTTTTATATTCACGCTAGCATAAACGAAGGATAAATCGATAAACTTGGCTTCACAGAACACCTACTTTCTGGCATGGAACGAACATCTCATTCACATCTCAATTCAAATCGAGATGTAAAAAATGTAATCTGGACAGCTACATCCCCAGACAGCACACCAAATCCTTTGCCAAAGGACCTTTGGATATCTACTAGACATCCCAATATCCACTGAATGTCCAGTCCATGGTGGATATCTATTTTATATCCATGAGATGTAATTTATAGACATGCAAATGTTCATAAATAATAGTAATTATATAGCAAATTATTAAAAAATTACGCCTTTGTGGCTAATAGTACCGTTCAGATATTTAAAATTAATTTTTTTAAGGTGTATTCAATATCCCATGGACATCCACTAAGTATATCAAAGTCTAGGCGCGAACGAAAACCATGGTGGATATCCACTAGATGTAATTTTTGATTTTGCTTACTAAGTATATAGATGGCGATACCACTTTCGCTCGTTGAATATCTTCATGCTCAACCCGCCGTAACTGAGTTTGATCGAAATTGGTATCGCAATCAGACTCCATTAGAGACTGGAGTCGAGAATTTCCATTTATTGCTGAAGAGTCCTAATAAGGATGACTTTCTCCTTAGTGGGCCAAATCAAAGGCAGAGTGTTGAAAATATTTTGAGTGTTGAAAATATTTTTTATCTCTGCTATTTTCTTTCGACGTTATTCAATAATCATTGGTTACTTATGAACCTCTACTAAAGATACCTATAAAATATTTTGCTGATTATCCGAATATCTTCTTTATCCTGGGATATAGACGGACATTTGGATATCCATATTAGATCCACTGGATATATTGGATATCCACAAAATATATTATGTGGATATCTCTGGGATTTCTTGTATTGTCTGGAGATACCCATTAGATATTTTGCTGGATATCCATAGGATATCTTCTATATTCTGGATATAGACGGACATTTGAATATCCATATTAGATCCACGGGATATTTCAGATATCCTGTGGATATATTGGATATCCACAAAATATATTCTGTGGATATCTCTGGGATTTGGTGTGTTGTCTGGGTCTCGGATAAACAAATGCAGTGCAGATGTAGAGATGTGTCTGATGTGGATAAACAAACGTTCGAGATGTAAAAAATGCATCAGGTGTAGATATTCAAACGCAGCAATAGGATTTTATAATTTCAAAAGGCAAAACCCCTCTTATAAATGTTCAGGCTACGCTACTGATATTATCATCAGTTTTAGTTACAGACTTTTCATGATTTTACTGATTGGTTTTTAATCTCTATTTCAGTGAATGTCCTTAGAAAACAATAATTCAAATGTTTTAAATTTACCACATTTGCAAGGAGTCGTAGCAGTAGCCTTCGTTTAGGGGATTTTATTTTCGATGTTGGTATTGATTGGCCACATGAATTTATCAAACGTCATCATTGTCATCAACAGCTGATGTAAATTAACAAAATAACAACAATTAACAAATTTAAATAAATACTTCTCACTTAGATATTAGAAAATATTAATATGAATCAAGATAGATATTCTCTAATAGATAATGCCGCCAATTCAAGTATAGCACCAGAATCTGGATACGAATCAGGAGTAAGTTTAAAGTTTACAATAAGGAGATTTTAAAATGTATTTTGTTAATTATTTAGTTTTATTTTAACAAACTTTTATAATAGGTTAAAAAAATTGGGGATAGTTAATTTAGATAAAACATATTTTTCTAGGAAGCAGTTTTTAATAAACCAAAGACGTTTCGACAACATGTTGCAGCTTTTGCAGGTGATAATACACTTTTATATTCCATTTTCTGAAAAAATACTAATTAATATTACACTAGGTATACTATATCATTTGTAGTACATAGGTAAACCATAGTAGGTAATCCTTTGATAATGTATTTATTAATCAAAAGGTTAACTAAATTGAATGTTGATAGTTTTACTTAAAAATGTATTAAATAGAGCGTTAAAGCAACGCTAGAAACTTATGCATATCTTTCTGACGTAAACGCAGAAATTGACGATACAGTATATCGTCGTTGCCGCGGTGAAACCTTCTATGTACATTTCATCAAAATTTTCAGTAGATATAAAAACGTAACAATTTTGTTCTGATGCCTTATACGTATTACGCACAAGGGAGGTCTAAAATCACAATATTTTAAAAGAAAATTACATGGGAGGTTTCGCTAAACTGTACAGAATATTAGTTTCTATGAACTGGTACAAAAATCTAAAAATGTGATAAAATATCACATAGGTATTTAGTAAATTTTGAATCTAGAAGCTTTAAATGACAATGATGATAACAGTGACAATGATTTAGATTATGAAGACTAGAGATAAGGAGGCGAATCGGCATTGGTCAAATTTCCGTCCCTATTTTTATGGAGTTCCAAAAAAATACTGTAGTTGGCGGGTGGCAAAATAACGACGTCTATTTTCTATGCAAGTCAATGGGAATTTAAATGATTTTTGTAAAATTTAGTGAAAAGAATAAAAATAAGCTGAAATAAAGAACCTGACTACAAATAACAATGAGTAACAAAAAACGACAAAGCAGGACTTTCTTCATGCCAGTTGCAAAATGGGATATAAATCCGATATAAAATTAAAGAAATCACAAGGAGATAAAAATCCAAGTCTTTTTAAAGCTCCTAGTGTAAGTAAAATAATGTATTTGTTTCTAAATAATATATATTTATTGTGAAATCGTCACAACCCGTATCTTACGGAGTGTGGTTTATTTAATTATAAAATTCTATAATAAAAAATAAAAAGTCATAAATCCTGACTTACAAACAACAATGATTATATATTAAATTTAACTTACTTACTAGAAAATAAAATTTGCTCTTTTTATGTTCTTTGATGTTAGATGAAGAGTTACTACTGTTATTTTTCTTTATTGATTTCCAATTTAGTCATTGCAAATATTTTTTATAGGATCCTAAACGTTTAGAAAAATGGCAGCATGTAATTCCTAGGGCTGATAAAGTACTGTCTAGTTATGATTCTGTTTGCGAGCTACACTTTTTAGAAGATGATATTTTAAAATTTGATGAGACTATTTTAACTAATGGTACTGTTAGCAAAATAAAAAGGGGACAGCTGAAATTAAAGGATGAGGTAATACCATGTACATTCTCAAATCTCCCTTTATACTTGTATTACAACAATAAAAAATCTGTTGTTTTATTTTACTCTTAAAACTATATATTGGATCAATTCAAAAAAAAATTTGCCACAAAATTGTACTTACCAAATTTCAGCAATTAAGAAACCTTTTCGAATTTGGTCATACATACCAAAATTGTATTTTATATAGATAAAATTAAACAATTTATTAATTAAAACATGCAAGACTTATTTAGAAATAAATATAACAGTATGTTCTGTGCCTTATTTAGCTGTAAACAAGTTTATTTTTTGACAAAATTATGTATAATTCCCATAAGAAGCCATGTATTTTGAACTACGTAAACCGTACCAGCGCCCATGCGGTTAATTATAAAAGCTCAATTGACGTGTGATTTTTGGGAACGTATTTTGAGCATGCCGATTCGCCTCCTTACCTCTAGTCTTCATAATTTAGATGATGCTGTGAGTACTGTTACAAATTCTATATAATGAAGAAATTTTAAAAATAGGGGTGTTTAAAAGGGAGATTCAATTTTAATAATCTGAAATTAAATCAAACTTTTTTGATAAAAAAAATACGATACAATTAGGCTTGCTAGAAGCTCTTGGCATGACAGATGATTACTACAAATTATCGAGTATCAGTGTCCAGTAATTTTTGCTTATCCATTTTTTTTTTAATTATATTCTCCAATTGATCTCATTTAACACCTTTTTAGAATTGTCCTAAAATATTTTTGTAGGAATAAAGATGCTGTGTATATTATATAAATTACAAATCAATCTTATTTCGTATTATGACTCGGTATTTGAAAAATAGAATATTATAAGTTACAATCAGTCATTAGTTTTATTAAAACGGATGCTCCGAAGTATTTGCTCAGTTCGATGCGAATACATATTAAGCGTATGTAGATTGTAGAAATAGGTAAGTTTACGTCAGCTGTTGCGCATGCGTAGCTGTCATTAGATTCGTTTACGTATACGTTTCTGGTATTTGGTATTGCTTTAACTCTCTATTGTATACATTTACGGAGTAACCCATACAGCACAAACACATTTCGGAAATATTTCAACAATGTTACATTGAAACATTTGCAATGTATAAATATTATGAAACATTTCTGAAATATGCCTGAAACGTAAAAATGTTCTCTAAATATAATATTTCACAGTAATATTTCTAAAATGAAAATTAGAAATCTTTTAGAAATATTAAATAGAAATATTTCAGAAATGTATTCTAGTTTTTTTTTTAATATTATATTAGACTAAAAAAAGACATTTAAAAATATACATGTTTATTTAAAATACACAAAACTCAAACATTAATTCCTCAACAAACAAATAAATAAATATGTTTTAAAGAATATTTCATAAAATATAGAAGTGAATTACTTCATTTCCACCAGTTCCTTTAAATGCACTAATTTGAAACAACTAGGTTTTTTTTTTAATAAATGCTTCAAGTAAAGAAATATTTACGATTATTATAATCTAATCGTTAAGATCAATTATTAGCAATTTTATTTTTACCTTACTTATCTAGGGATGAAAAACTTCATAAACTAAGATTCTACTCACTGTACAGTGTACTTTAGAGTCTAATTATTTAGTTGCAGTACCGTTAATGTATAACACTTAACCGCACTATACTCTGTTTTAATCTAACCACTGAACTAACTCAAAAGGCCTGGTTCTCTTGAGTCTTCTTATTAGATTGGCATTGTTGAGGAGCTGGATAATCTCAAGTTTTCCATGTTGGATCAGTCGTTGTATACTACTGGCAAATGTTTGTATTGTATTTTCAACAGTCTCCACTTTAAGATCCCTATGAAGATCAGTATTACGGCAGTACCAGGATGCATCGAGGATATTCCTTAATACTTTATTCTGGAAACGTTGAATAACTTGGATGTTATTTTTACTGGCACAGTCCCAAAGCTGGTAAATTGCTTCATTTCCACCAATTCCTTCAAATGCACTAATCTGAAACAAAATGTAGGTAATTAAAAGTAGTTTATACAAATTATTTGATTAACAATAGTTTTAATAATATTGTTTTAAATTAACTATAATAAAATGATACTCATGTCTAAACAAAACATGAAGATCCACCTAAGCAAGCATTATTTATGTAGTTCTCACCTTAATTTCTAAAGACATATTCTGCTTCCCATATAACAAGTTTACATCTCATGCATATCAAAAACCAACAACTGAGATCTATAATTATTTAGAATATAGGCTTGTTTCTAACTGGTGGCTGGACAGGGACATGATAAAATAACTACATATCCCATCTTCTTACAAATCAGAAATTCTTCATTAATTGTTGGCCTTTTACAACATAACCCGTTTAGTAACCTTTTGTGTAACATGTATACCATGTTTCAGAAACATTTTCAATGAAATATTTAACTAAAATATTTCAGAAACTTGGGCTTGAAATGTTATGTTTGAAACTTTTGAAATATTTCTGAAACATTTCTGAAATAATGTGTGCTGTATGGGTAATGCCTTGACCATGACATATGTATAAAAATAATTTAAAATTTATGATTTTCAGCCACACTCTCAGCTCTTGCTGCTGGATCAGTTTTAGCATGGACTTCTCCAATCCTCACTGATCTAGAAAAAGGCAAATTCAATGATATACAATTAGATAGTGACCAGATAGGATGGATAGGTTCCTTTGTTACACTAGGCGCAATGACTATGTGTATACCCACAGGCTTCATTTGTGACATCATCGGTCGGAAGAAGACTTTGCTCTTACTATTTGCACCTTTTACAGTAGGATGGATATTAATAATATTCTCTAAACATGTTTTGATGCTGTACTTTGGTAGGTTATTCACAGGAGCAGCTTCTGGTGCTTGTTGTATAGCTGCTCCCATATATACAAGTGAAATTGCACATAAAAGTGTTAGAGGAACATTAGGGAGCTATTTTCAATTGATGGTCACAGTGGGAATATTTTTTGCTTATATTTTAGGAAAATATTTATCTCCAATTAATTTTACTATTGTGTGTGGTTCTCTTCCATTTATATTCCTCTTAACTTTTTCTTTTCAACCCGAATCGCCAGTATTTTTGTTGAAACGAGGTATGTATGACAAAGCCAAAGAAGCTTTGATAATTTTAAGAGGTGAAGGTTACAAAATAGATTCAGAGTTAAACGAAATTGAAGGTTACTTAAAAGAGAGTACTCAAGCTACTATTTCTCTAACTGAAACATTCAAACAGGGCGCTGTTATCAAAGCTTTTGTAATATCATGCTCTTTGATGTTCTTTCAACAATTTAGTGGTATTAATGCTATAATTTTATACACAACAAATATTTTTGAAACTTCTGGAGTTGATTTAGATCCCCATGATGCTGCAATTCTAGTTGGTTTCTTTCAAGTAATTACCACATTTGTGACAGCCGCAATTATTGATAGATTGGGTAGAAGAATTTTGCTGTTTGTTTCAGCTTTGTTTGTAACTATTACAATGTTTCTTTTGGGTGCATTTTTTACTCTCAAAAACAGAACCGACGTGGGCGAAAGTGTTATTACAAAATTAGAATTTGTGCCTGTAAGCGCTTTGTGCATTTTTATTATTGCTTATTCAATAGGTTTGGGTCCTATACCATGGGTCATTTCTTCGGAAATTTTTCCTACTGAAATCAAGAGTATTACCAGTTCCACAGCTGGAACCTGCAACTGGTTTTTAGCATTTATATTAACCAGATTCTTCTTACAGGTGTCTAATTATATAGGGCAAGATAGCACTTTCTATATATTTGGGTCTGCTTCAATGATAGGAATATTTTTTGTTTACATTTTTGTACCAGAAACAAAAGGGAAGAGCATCATTGAAATCCAAGCTATTTTGAATAACAACTAAATTTTTGCTATTACTATAAAAAGATCACTTTATATAACCAGATTAGAAACAATCTCACTGGGAAAGAACAAAGAAATTAAGGATCAACTTAAATTATTTGATTTTTTTTAATGTGTTATTTATAGTTTTTAAAATGCCCATATTTAACATTTTTAATTTTACTAGTGATAACCGAATCCACTCTAGTCACCCTAGTCACTTTTAGGTAATTTTGTAGTTTAGGGGGCTTTGAATGCGCATGTCCACACTACCCGGCTAGGAGGATTGAAATCGTTACATAGTTACCAGGTTGTACTTATATCAATATATTTAAAATCTAGTAAAAGGCAAATTGAGTTATTCGAGCAAAATGGTTGCTTAAAAATGTAAACACACTAACTTATTTCCGTCATCGTTTATTTTGTAATTGTTTATATGTGACGATTATTATTTTGTCGTGTATTTACAACAATTAAAAAGTACAGTAAGTAAATTATTGCCTACCACTTGTTGTATAGCAAAATGTGAAAGCCGTGGAAATCATGATACTGTTAATTATTTTAAGTTACCTAGTAAAACTGCATTTATGCATAGAATAGACATAAACGAAGTTAAAAAAAAAACGTAATTATATCAGAGTGTGAAAATAAACAATAACACAATGAATGAAAAATAAAGTAGCCAGCCAAGTTTATGACAATAAAAATTTATTTATTCAGAAACCTATAAAGCTTGATTTTTACTAAAAATTTCATGTTGATATCGCTTTTGATGTTTGATTTCTATTTTTTTTATTTCAACCCCTCTTAACCCCCCCCCCCATTTTGCTTACAATTTTTTTTTTAAATTGTTTTGTTTTTGTACCCTTATAGAGCTTGATTTTTGTTAAAATTTCAAGTTGACAATATTTTTGATTTTTTTAAATATTTTAACCCCCCTTATCCCCTCATTTTTATTCTAATTTTTTCAGAATGATTAGACTTCATTCCCTTATAAAGCTTGATTTTTCTGAAGATTTTAATTTGATATCGTTTTTTGTTTCCGAGTTAATATATTTTTCAATATTTTTATTCAATGGGCTTCATTCACTTAAAGAGCTTGATTTTTACAAAAAAAATTCATGTTGATTTTTATTTGTTCAGTCCCATTGAAACCCCTCATTTTTAAACGGAATTTTTTCAATTTCAAGTTGGTAACTTTTTTCGTTTTTGAGTTAGCCTCCCAATTTATTCAATTTTTTCAAAATCAATAGGCTTTTATAGGCTTGATTTCATGTTGATGTTGCTTTTCGTTTTTGATTTATGATTTTTTTTTAATTTTTTAACCGAAAAAACGGCGGAGAAGAACGAGGTGAGGGGGCTCCTTTATAGAACTTGATTTTTCCTGAAATTTTCAAATTGGTAGCGTTTTTTGTTTTTGACTAAAAACGTCACATCGGACGGACTGACTGACGGAACTAAATGCATAATATACATATTGTGTGAAGAGTATAACAAGAATAGAAATATGGCAACTTCACAGGTGTAAAATTCAAATTGTTAGTATATAGTGGTGTGGACGTGTGCATTATAGCCCCCTGAAGCGCTAGATTACCCTTTTTTACTATTGAAAGACATGTGTTTTTTCACTCAAATGTTCATACAATATACTGGGCCTCTCAGCTTCTATGCTAAACTCAAAAAGTCTTAAAAAGTTCGATTAATACTATTTAAGTCTACTAGTATATTGTTTTTCATTAGTTTTCGAAATGCAAGATGTATAGGCAAAAATGGTGTGTATAGAATATGTATTATTAGTAAAATCTTAATTTTGCAGTTTTTCCAGCAATCTGTTTTCTTCCGAAATTTGGACATAGTTATGTAAACATGTTTACGAATAACTACCTTCTCCAGATTTCATTCATAATGAAAAAGAAAATTATGAGGGGTGTGCTGATATTTTTTTAGATACACTGAAACTGCTTGAATATTTGAAGAACTTTTATATTTCAAAGTATCCCCTTTGAGTTAATTCCAATTTTACTTTCTGCCAAGCCTCTTTTTTCTGATTTTCACTAATTTCATTATACGCAGCTACAATGTGTCATCACTATTGGAAAAACCACGTCTTCTATGTTTTTACTGTATAAATAAAAAATCACAAAGGGTCAAATCAGGAGAATGAAGTAATAAATTCTTGCGGGGTCAAAAAAGTCATTCTGGTAGAGGTGTGTGATCATAATAAATAATAGCTCTAAAATCCTTATAATCAAACTCAACTTAGTGTTACAGAAACACATCCTCATCTTTACTTGCTTGCTGCTCACCTAAGACTATGGCGTTCTCTAAGTGTATTTCGACATACAAACTTATAAAGGACGTGTTCAAACTTGTCACTGCACATCGTCAGTTTGGAATAATAGTCATATCTTGAAAATTTTCATTTTTTACATTTAAAATCCGTAAGAGTGCACAGCAATAAAATGTCACATCTTAAATAAACGTCCTGAGGTTTCCCATATAAACAAAACTGTCACAAGTCAGTCGTGTTGCGGCCCTTGTATAGATTAGGTGCATATTTTGGAAAAGAGCGTCAGAACTCAAAAAATATTTAAATAACACTTATTGTTTCTATTTATGTGCAACATTGTCACGCACCAGTACTTTTTCATTCTTCTTTTTATATAATAAACTGTTGATTTTGAGATGTCTGTCTTAAATAAAAATTACTTAAAAAATATAGAAAAGCGCGTCACAGCTAGCAATTATAAAATTATTAATTACAAAAATCCAAAAAGCACTAGAACAATAAATTATATTAAAAATACTATATGCAACCCAGGTCCCACTGAAAATATGTGGTTTTCAAGTGTATAAAAAATATTAACATGGGCCTCGCCTTCAGAGAAAGAATAAACATAAATTACAATTTTTAAATCAAAAGAGTCGATGCACCTAGAACCCAGTATTAAAAATTATGTAAATTTGCCTTTTTAAATTAATATCCTAAAAATGTTATGGAAAGTAAACATGTTTGCATCACTATGTCCAATTTTTAAATTAAGATTTCATCGATTATTAGTTTGTAATGTTAAAGACAAATTCAGTTTTATTATTAAATCTCACAATAATAGACTAGTTTATTTCTAATAAAATGAACAAATTTTTCACAGAAACATTAAATATCTACCTATACACAGATATCCTTCAATCTTATTTGCATTTAATTTTTTTAGTAATTTTATAAATGCCAAAAGTACAAAACCTCACATCTTCTGTTTACAAAATATAACGAATTTCCTAGGGTTACTACCAAACATTTTAAATTTGCATTTTACAATTTCTTGTTAAACGTTTTCAATGTAAATACATCGATCTAGATTCAAATATGAACCAAAGCTAACGCCTAGTAATATTTTTAACTTGAGTTTTCAAAGTTCATGCATTTAATACAATATTCTTAAATATAGTTTTATATTTTATTCGTTCATTAATTATTTCGCATTTTCCAAGTCTAGAGAACATTTCTCTGTGATTTCTAAAAATTAAAAAAAATCGAAACAAGTTATAAAAGTGACTAATTTAAAAAACCGCCTTGAAAATCGTGCAGATGCAATTACAAATTAAGTTTGATGATTTTATCAGATCTTGATTAAATGTATATGGGATGGGACCACCCCTCTGAGGTACACCCTTTCGAACAAAAAAAGAATCCTAAAAATCGAACAACGTACTAAAGAATTATCGCTGAACAGACATAAAAAATATGAAGAGTTCGATGATTTTCTTATGGACGACTTAATAGATATTGACAAATTTGTATGGGACCACCTCCGAGGTACCCCTTCTCTAACAAAAAAATAATTCTAGAAATCGGACAACATAGTAAGGGGCCATCCATAAATTACGTCACACGAATTTCATGATTTTTTTGACCCCTCCCCCGTCCTAGTCACAGCTGGTCACATTTGTGAGACTCCCCCTCCCTAGTATGACGTCACATATTTTGCAATTTTACATCTAGAAATTATTAAATTAAAACAGCAGTTCCGAAATTTGTTTTATTTCAATTTAAATAATTTTTTAATAAAATTAACATCAAATCAAACATTTGAAAAAATTAACAAAACAAAACATGATTAATTATATCATTGAAATATCCAAACTTATTCATCTTGAGTCCATGGACTTTGAACCCACTCCATTAAATTATTTATAACTGGCATAGCAGTCACTTTGGTCTCGTTTGGGTTATTTCCCGGAACATTCGTTGTGTCAACATCTTTTTCATCCAACCAAATGGCAGATGGTTATCCAAACAATTTCTCTGGCACGTCTAGCAGCAATTCTTTGAGGACGAATCTTCGCGATGGACAAAACTTCTTGTTGCCTCTTATGTGATTGCTCGTGTTGGTTAGTGGCCTTGTATGACGCAAAATATAGACCACAGATGCCACATGATCGCTTAAGCAAGTATGCCCCGACACTGGGACAGTAGCTATCATACAGAACTTGCTTCAAATGTGATGATGCTTGAAGATCCAAAGATAGCTAAAGTAACAGTGGAGCAAATTTACCTCCTTTTTCTATGGTTACATACCTGTTTAATTAAACCAGGTGGTGGTAAAAACCCCTCTCGTAATAGTCGCCAAAGGCTAAAACGTCGCACACCACAACAAGGGACAACCTCGCATTTTACGATTTTTAATAAATATTGTGATTCACGCACATGATTTGCGTACCAAGTCGCATCATTTTTCAATACCTTGGCCCAGTGGTGGGGAAACTTTTTTTAAGACGGGCCATTTGTAATAACTAGACAATCGTAGCGGGCCAAAGAATAATGCTTAATCGTTAAAACATTTATGTGTTCTATAAACATATACATATATTATTTTACATACACTTATTATTTTAATAGTAAAAAAGCAAAAGGTAAGCAAATTATAAGCACAAAATATAAAATGAATTTAGTGTAGTTCTTGATATGAAGTATTATCACTTTATTTTCTGGTGTCATTACTGGTTGATGGTGCATGAGAAAAATGAAATTGAGACTGTTCAAACATTCTCACGACGGCACTCTTAAACGGGCCGGATTAAACCTTTCCGCGGGCCGGACTTGGCCCGCGGGCCGTAGTTTCCCCATCACTGCTTAGCCTGTTCAATATCCAATCTAGTATCTGTGGGCACAATGTATTCGGTAACCACAGGAAAATCATCAATGACCAGTTGTCTCCAAATATTAGCCAGCACAATGTTTGCACTCTAAAAGTTTCGTTTTTTTTTTAAGTCAGTAGTTTGATAACAGAAATCGAGATGTGAACCAAAATTGTCATGTTTTAATAGAACACCAGTAAGTTCGCGACTAAGAAGCGCCATTCGTCGTTCCACTCTGTTGACAACATTTCCTCCTGGAGCATTTGTGGCAATGTAAATAGCATCCAAGTCAAAATTTTTAAAATGTATAGCTGAAACTATAACTCACTCGTATCGTAGATTTTCGTCGGGACCACCATCGAAAGTAAGAATAAATACGGGTTTTCCAAAACCTTCACGAGTTCTCACAAAGTTTTTGAAAGCAGGTGTTTCAGTCAGTCTATGTATGTCTATGGCATGAGTTTATGCATTAGAGGAAGAATGCTTTCCACTACAAATTGCTACGTATGTTGGCCCAGAGTGTGTCACAGTTTCAGGTTTCCCGTCACCATCTTTCTTTATTACAATACCTGCATAAACAGAGGTACCACGAAATCATGATCCGGTAATTTTACACGATAATAAGGGTGCATTAATATTGGTGCTTGAGCATTTGCTGCTGTAATACCTAAAGGCCCGCGTGCTTTGTCATCAATTGATAAAAAGAAAACTTGATCAGGGACCAAAATTGAAGCTAAAGATTCAAGGTTTGTTATCGCAGCAGTACAGAATGTGCCATCTTGATGTTTCAAATGTAGCGTAGAATCTGGTTTGCATAGTTTAACAGAAACAGTTACGACGTGTCTCTTTCCTTCCTTTGTATTGACTTGTCTGGGAAGAAGTCTCAAGTATAAGCCTAATCGACTGATACTATATCCCTGTTTACAAAGTTTGGCTTGTAAATCGTTCAATATTTTGCGGCACCTTATAGTTTCAGTGCGACGTCGATCATCAGCTGCACCACAAACTGCAATATCCTTTATGATTCCAAGTAAACGGGATTGGTTTTCTTCTACTCTAGGCCGACCAACGGTATCTCGAAGTTTTAGAGCTGATGCTAAGTCGGTATTATTTTCACAAAGTTCTATTATTTTTTTTTTGTTTTTTTGAATCACGATTTTTTTGTCGTTCCGCAGCGCTAATCTTTCGCTTCAATATGTTTTTCCTGTTGAATATCTTTTCTCAAAGTTGCTATTCTTTTTATTGCTTCATCTGTAGCTATACCAGTATCGCTTGCTAACAACAAGCTATTGAGCTTAGCTTCGAGAACTACAATTTTATTCCTAGACGCGCGCTGACTAGGTTTTGGTTCAGGTATTGTTTGACGATTGAGCACTCCGCCTACGGCGTCGTGCTCAAATTTCGGCTTCGTTTGATATGGCTATCATATCCACTTTTGTTGCACAAACTACTATTGTATAGTTAAAAAATAACTTATAGTTTCCACCCTGTATACATATATGTTGTGTTCCGCGGAACGACCCAGTAGACCTAGTCAGTTTAATTTGGTTATTATAAAATTCGAACTTACTTCCTTTATGTCCTCGGACTCTAGTTGTATTCGTGATGTTGACGACGAAGGAATTTTCTTCTTCGTCATTTTTATTTTTAATTCTTTGATTTTATATTCTACTTCACCCTCAACATTGTCACCACTTTTCAAACATTTCCATAAGGTGTTAACTTCTTGTTGTACATTTTGTTTCCTTTTATCAGCATAAGCTGCACTGTATGCTTCATATAGTTTACAATAAAGATTACCTACATCTCTTTTTGTTCATTTTAAACTTGTTTCATTAAGTTAAAAATCATAAAATAGCTGAACTAAGAAAATGACATCACGAAATGTAAAACCCCTCCCACCCCTTATCACACTTCGTCGACCTCCTCCCCCTCTTAACGTGTGACGTAATTTATATACGACCCCTAACCTAACTGAACTTACATAAAAAAAATAGTCCGAAGAATTGAAACTCCTTTTTTTTTTTAAGTCGGTTAAAAAACGTATTTTGATTTTCTGTAATCATATGGTGAGTTCGGTCTACGCACTCTTTTCACTATATTCACTCCTAAAGTACCTAAGGCGTTCGGGTACGGAAGGAGTTAAAATAAAAGTTCCTCTTTGACCGTTCGGAGATGGTGGAGTGGAGTGTGGATCGGGCATGCGCATAAGGTGATTTAAATTGATAATAAGTTAATTGTGAGTGATTCTTTAGTAAATAATTTTTTTTTTTGGTTCCCGTGAATATCATTAATATGGAAGAAACTTATACGGTCGTTACTGACAAGTACAATTAAATTTTAAGTACTGGTATGTCACATTGACAATTGACATTGCACTCCGAGCGTTAAAGGAGTAAAATCATATTCGCACTCCGTTTACGCCTAATTACTACACTCCACTCTGGAGTGCGCAGCCCGAACTCACCTATAGTAGATAGACTAAGTTACCATGGGACCACATAGGGAATTTTCAATGTGTAAGAATGAGAGGTACAGATTCAATGAGTAAAAGGTCTGAGGGTAAAACAGAGAAGTGGGGGATTAAATTTCTGTTAATGTCGAACAGAAAAATCATGCGCAGAACGAAAGCCAGAAGGGCCTAAAACTTATATCTTTGTTATTGTTGGTCCGATTCAAACGGGAAAAACAGCATTATGTAGATAACTCGGTATAGATTAACATCGAACAGAAAAAATCATGCGCAGAACGAAAAGCCAGAAGGGCCTTAGCGTGTTTCTCGGATATTACTGGTCCGATTCAAACGGGAAAAACGGTATTATGTAAAGGACGCAGTATAGATGAACGTTGAAGAGAAAAATCATGCGCAGTGACGGACCAAAAGGGCCTAAAACTTATATCGTTGTTATTGTTGGTCAGATTTAAACGGAAAAAACGGAATTATGTAGAGAACGTGATATAGATGAACGTTGAAGAGAAAAATCATGCGCAGAACGAAAGCCAGAAGGGCCTAAGCCTGTTTCTCGGATATTACTAGTCCGATTCAAACGGTATTACGTAGATAACGCGGTATAGATGAACGTTGAAGAGAAAAATCGACGTTTCGTATGTTTTCGTTTGCCGTTTCGTACTTCAACTAAAATAACTACTGAAATTGTAACAGCCAGGTTGGTCTAAGACGTCTAACGTAAGTCCATCCTCCGAATAGTTAGTATTGAGATGTCTCATTCTTACCCAATGAATCTGTACCTCTCACTCTTACACATTAAATTCCCTATGTGGTCCCATGATAACAGTCTATCTACTAATCATGTTTTCCAGTTCTTTTAAATGATGGATATCATGACTTATATTTTTATTAGATGTCACAAGATGACAGAGCCCCATGAATAATTTACTTTTGCATTTATATCTAATTTTCCTCTAGAACTTTTAATATTTCTACTACATCGAACCGTTTAATCAACAGAGGTTTGTGTTCATCTTTTTAATAGCAACCCAGTGAAAGTAATTAGATAAGCTTACATTCCAAATATTAATCTTCTGAAAATAATAATTAAAAATATACATTTTGAAAAGATAATTATTCTAAGATGGCGGAACCCTTTTTCAAATGAAACATTAAAAAAATCGCCTTAAAAATACACGTGATTTTAATTATTTTACTCATATATTATAAAATATGATACCTGGCCTTGTTAGTTATAGAACAAAAAAATTAATAAATAGATCTGTTGATATACAAAATATATTTATAAACATTTACATTTGTACAAATCCAAACAGCTGGTAGCACCGTTTTAAAAAATAAATATCGATTGACTTAATAATTCAGTATTATCATATTCTTAATAAATTAGTATCATAAACCAGTGTCATTATGGTAAAATTATATTATTAATAATTTTTAGATTGGATTCATTAACTTTAACTATTTTTATGAAGAAAATCTCAAAGCCATGGTTCACATTTTGAGGTTGGAATTATTTTCCCTTTTAACTATTTGAATTTACAATATGTTTTATTTTTGAAATAAGATAATACTGAATATTTTCATAAAAGTACCTTCGTTCAGTAAAGAAGCCCTTTCTTGTGATTTTTAGTACCTTCTGAACATTCCTTATACTATAGTTGCAAATATAATCCTAGTTTTAACATTACAAATATCACCCTGATTGTTTGGTCATTTCAGTCGCACAAGTTAATATAATTTTAAAAATTTTCACTGTTAACATCTTTTAACATCACTTTTGATTTTTTTAAGCCAAAGACAGGAAATATATTTTTTACTTACAATTTTCCAAATAAATAGCAAAATTCAGGTATTTGGAGGTACTGGTTTTAAAGATATGTTTGTCATAATTTGTATAGTTTTGATAAAGTGAAAATTTTTAAATTGGCGCTTCTATGCATTGAACATCTCCGAAAAGTTCTGCCTTCCTAGATTTTTATAAATGAAGCTGTAAAGCCATATGAACATTACTTTTTGCGTATGAGTGTAAGATAACATATATGTACTCTTCAAAACATGTTTTTGTAAAATGAGTAAAGAAAATATGGTATTATTTGGAATTCTACAGTTTAAAATTATTTAAAGAAAAATCTATGCATTGTTCATTTCAAACGTAACATTAACTAAAACAACTTAACTTTTCTCAAATATATTATAACATCAAAAAAATCTTGCTAGGCAGAATTATAACAACTGTACTTACTGAACATCTTTATAGAACCTATTTTGATTACTTAAGAAGAAAATCCTAAAAACTGGCAAAGAATAAGAATTATATATTTTAATGTGTAGTTGATAATTAGTAAAGACATATGTTTTATGGATTATACATAAATGTTAACCAGCTTTTTTTAGTTTTATTTTCATTAACAATGTTTCCTTAAACATTTTATTTTGTTGTTTCTTTGGTTTGTTTGAATATTCACGAGTTTACACATAATGTTGACGCTCATTTTAACGCCTCGGATCAACGACAATTTGACATTCATCTATGTTAAGAGTATTGAGATAATCAAGAAAAACTTGGAGAATTCCAAAATCTAAGCTGTACCCGGTGAGAAAATAGAAGTTGGAAAGAGCATAGTTACTAACTTTTTAATTTTAGACAAATTTATTTTCTTAACCTTGTTTACAGTTATAATCTATAACTAGTCAAGGAAAATAATCTCTAAAATTTTTGCAAAACTGGTCAAATTGAGATTCATAGAAAAATCAAGAATTACCTTAAAAATATATTTCATAAAACGTTTTAAGATCAATTTTTTTACTGGTAACTAATATATAAGGCTCTGTAAACTACCTACTTCATAACAAGCATACACTTTTATATAACAATATATCTAAATATAACTAAAAAGATAACAATAACTTCTCTTGTAACATTGAACATTTACTGATTAAGCACCGGTTTGGTCAAAATTATATCTGATTAAAGCTAAAATCATTTGAAAATACGTATAAACTAATATCAAGGCATAATATATTTTAAATAATAAATTCGGTACATGTTCAGGTATACAGGGTGAGACACGAGATTGCGATTGTGTGCGTGGTATCCACATATTATTGAGATAACTGACTACATTGTAGGACTACACATTTTTTTAAGGATTAATGACTTCATTCGCACATTTCTAAATTTAATTCTTTTAATTTTCGTAATTTAAAATTATACCCTATATTAATGATGACGTAATTTGTGTTCTGCTGACAAATGACAGTAATATTAGACTTCTTTTAATTTTCTTGAGTGCTTTTGTTGTAAACTAAATTATATAGTTTTGAACTTTTATAAATATGTTCCTAAAGTAAGTCTTTTGTTAAAAGTAAACTGTCATTGGAATACAAAATACGTCAAACTAATAGCGTAATTAGACTGTATGTGTTTTTTTATTCAGCACAATTGTTAGATCTGTAATTGATGTAATAGTGAAAGGTATTACAGCGTATTGAAATTAAAAAAAAATCATAAATTAAAAAAGGAAAGCGTTATCAGCATGAAATTTTTAGCAAAAATCAAGCTCTATAAGAAGATGAAGGCTATTGATTCTGAAAAAATTGAATTAAAATGGGGCTTGAGGGGGTTGAAATATTAAAATAAGTCAAGTTCTATAAGGGGACAAAGCTTATTGATTTAAAAAAAAAATGTGAGCAAAATAGGGGTTACGGGGGTTGAAATAAAAAATAAATAAAAAACAAACATCAGAAGCGATATCAGCATGAATTTTTAGTAAAAATCAAGCTCTATAAAGGAATGAAGTCTATTGATTCTGAAAAAAAATTAGACGAGAAGGGGGGTTGAAATATTAAAAAAATCCTAACTCAAAAATAAAAAACGAAATCAAATTCAAATCTCCAGAATAAATCAAGCTTTATAAGGGGATAGCGATTCTGAAAAAATCTGTTTAAAAATTAGGGTTAGGGGGGGGGGGACTGTTAAACTGTGAAGAGTATAATATAAAATGCCGAGCATTATATATCTTCATTCTAGTATTAACTATTTTGTATTTGTCTTTATCTTTGTAATTAATTAGTTGTTACTAACCTAACCCATTATACAGGCCCGCGAAAATTTTGTGATCTAGCCATTTTATTGTTTTTTCAGCTATTTACAACTTCTATATAGCTAAAATAACCCCCTTTTTATTCTATCACGTAAACTTTTTTTGTAAACTAGTATCAAGGGTATTATCCCTGAACATCGCGAACAAATTAATTTGAATTCCTTATTTTTGTTCAAAACGCTGAGACGTTGTTGAGGATTCACCGAGACTCGATTTATTCAGGAAAGAGGGCGATATATTTAGTATCCCCGTGGTATTGAGACAGGCGTTGTCTATCGAATTCTATCGGTGTTTCGTTGTGCACTTTCTAACCTTGGGCGCCACATGTTATCTGCAAGTTGAGGCATTGGTTTAAAGAAACAAGAAAAGCCCTACCGTTTGGAATACCAATGGTCTGGAGAGAACCTAAAAATCACATTGACGACTGCTATTTTTGTCTTTGTGATATTAAAGGTCATAACACAAAATCTCTAAAGTATATTAACTATCCTTATCTTTCGTCTGCAATAAAACCAGTTCCACATGACGCTGATATACCTGTACCTGTTCCACCTAAAGTATTACAGTCTATCAAATCCGAATCTTCAACAGATTCAGAAATTGACATTTTTGAGCCATCTACCTCAGGAACCCGTGAACCGCAGCTATTTTCTCAAGTAGAACTGAATGACTTAGTCAGGGATTTGGGACTTCCAAAAGACCTCTCTGAGGTTTTAGGATCAAGGCTTAAAGAAAAAAAAATGACTTGCTCCAGTTACTACATTTTATAGGTATAGAAATTGTGAGGCTGAATTTGTCAATTACTTTTCCGCAGCTGGTTCACTTGTATATTGTCAAAATGAATCTGATTTGGTTATTCACCTAGGTGCTCCTGAATACAATCCTGCCGAGTGGAGACTTTTTATAGACTCTTCAAAGAGACGTCTTAAAGCTGTTCTACTTCATAATGGCAATTTATATGCATCTGTTCCTGTTGGTCATTCTAATCAGCTAAAAGAAAATTACGAAAATCTTGAGGTACTGCTTTTAAGAATAAACTACAGACAACATAACTGGATTCTATGTGGTGACCTTAAAATTTTAGGGTTGCTTTTAGGTCAACAATCCGGATATACGAAATACCCATGTTTCCTATGTGAGTAGGACAGTAGAGCAAGAGATGACCACTGGACCAAAAAAAACTGGCCACCAAGAAAAAATTTAACGCCTGGCTCCAAAAACGTAATTTGGGAAAGTCTAGTTGATACCGAGAAAATTTTATTACCCTTTCTACATATAAAATTGGGGCTGATGAAACAATTTGTCAAAGCTCTAGACAAAAATGGTGATTGCTTTAAGTACTTGTGTGAAACATTTCCGGGTCTCTCTGAAGTTAAATTAAAAGAAGGCATCTTTGTTAGGCCACAAATAAGAAGGTTGATGAAAACTAATGAAATTGAGACGGTTATGCAGGAAGACAAAAAAGAAGCATGGACAGCTTTTAAACAAGTTATAAATAAGTTTCTAGGAAACTACAAAGACCCTGAATTTGAAAGTATTGTTGAAAACACGTTGGACAAATTTAGAAAGTTAGGCTGTAACTTGAGCTTAAAAATTCATTTTCTACATGCTCATCTTGACTATTTTCCGGATAATCTTGGCGATGTCAGTGAAGAGCAAGGGGAGCGCTTTCACCAGGACATAAAAGAGATGGAACGGCGATATCAAGGGCGCTGGGATATCAAAATGATGGCCGTCTACTGTTTGATGCTTAAAAGGGGCCGTCCTACCGCAGAATATGCACGAAAAACAACAAAAAGAAGCTTTTCCAGAAAGAGAGATTTTTCAAGAAAACAAAGGATTAATGTATGTTATTTTTTAACTACTTCCCCGGTTTTATTGTTTGTTTTTATTATTTTCTTTTTTATCTATAAATATATTTTTACTTTTTGCATTCTTGTAGTATTTTGTTTGAAATCAGCGTCACTGAAATACCCAATTTCAGTTGAAAAGTTCAATTCACATTTTACAGAGTATTTAAACGCAGGCCTGTGTTATCTTAACTAGTATTGTAAATGTACTTCAAATTTATTCCGTATTTGAAATTGCTTTTACACCGACTATAAATGCAGAAAGAAATTGACTAATGATGTGACTGTTTTCCAGAACTGTCACCCTTGCAATACGTCAACTGGTATTGAATTGGTGTTGTCTAGAGCAACCATAAGTTGTCTACTATAAATGAGTGACTTAAGTTACTTATCACCCTGTATCCTGGTATATGCTTCATTGTTATAGAAAGATTTTGGCAAGAAACAAATCCTAGTAAAAATTGTGACAAAATAAATAATTTGTATTGTCCCTAGTGTTTCAAGAAATTAATAACAAATATGAGTGGCGGAATAAAATATCAGTATTGAAACATTTTCAGATTAGATTAGTATCTATCACTTCGTGGTAGAGATCACTTTATACTTCCATACAAATTCATTATTGGACCAAGTATGATGATTTTTTTAGAACTACTAGACAATAATAATTGTTTAATAAAACTATATATTTCCGGTTATCTTTACTTGTAAAGCCTGCAAGGCTGAAGTCAAAATCATATCAAAATACTGGACCTAGTCGGAGTGTTTGATCTTAAAGTTGAATAACTCCTGTGAATGTTTTTACAACAACACAAATCTTTCATGAGTCCCCCTAGACTATCATTTGAATCAGTTCTAAACAAACCACTTGATACATCCTCTAATCTTGTTTCGCCAATAAAGCATTCTAAACTCGTTTTTGGAAAACCCTCGTTATAGTATAATTTTATAGTATCATATGCATCCATAATTACAGATATGAACAAACTTAATATTATATAAATGTATAAACTTATAAAAGAGTATAAGTAAATCCTACTAAACCACCATAGAAGTGGAGATTTGTTGGACATTATGGAAAAAGTAGCAAACATATCATCTCCGTTTATTAAGGAAAACAGGCATTCCGAAGTTGTTGATAAGGATCTGAACTTAAGATGGTATGGTCCCAAAATTAACCATCCAGAGAAAGTAAAACCGGCATATATCAACAGGGCACATAATAAAAACCTCGCTACTTGTGGAGCTGCTTTTTGAAGGGTCAGAATAACGACGTTATATGTTCTAAAGAAGCCTAAATATCTCAATACCCCAAACCACACCAATAAGTTACCAATACCTAAAAATAAACTACAAATATTCCACTGATCAGAAGCAAATTGCTCTTTCTCAATTTGTTCCTTTACAGCCGAACCAATAATGATTAATAAATCGTTAATAATTATCATAATATACCAGAGATTTAAAAACTTCATTCTATCCGCGTGACTCAATGGTTGTTCGAATCTTGTAATAAAAAATTTATTTGTAATATTTTTCAATTGGTAGGCTCGCCATACAGCTCTTGAACAAAGAATAAATGAAGTGATGCAGATTAACATCACCAGATAATTTAGTAAACTTCTCAGCACCGATTCTATTTCATTATCTTTTTTATAAGTAACATCACCCTTACATGATAAGCGAATAGGTTCTGCATCCAAAGATACTACCATTTGCCCATCGTGATCTTCATTATCAAAATTTATAATTATATTAAATAAATAACAATTCGGTGGAGATATCCTACCAGCAGACTTAAAATTTACTGTTTTTAAAGAAAATATCAATTCGGCTCTAACTAAAGCTGAAAAGTTAATGTCTACTGTATGATTTTTCATATATAATTTTGAGTCAAGTGCCTCACTGATAGGTCGTGATATATTAATACATGTTTTTATAACTTCACTGTTAAAAATATATGACTCGTTAAAGCCAAATATGATGCCTTCTTTGTATTGATAAAGGCATAGTAACATGTCTTTCTTTGAATTGTCTTCGTTGGCATACGAATAAGATCCAACTGCTTTATCAAGGCGTGAGTATCCTAAGTAGGCATAATCAATTGTTGCGTAAAATTCATCCTCCCTGTAGATTGCAAGAGGCCCTGCAGATGGAGGATAGGCATTTACTTCTCTTGTAGCATCCCAACCTGCAAAATAATAGATTTTCAATAGTAATGTTTATTTGCCAGAAATATTACAAAAGACATACTCGTATTTTAGTAATGTGTGACAAATAAACACAATAAGACACATAATCAATATTATAGATTGCTTGTTTGTGAATAAGAAAATGTATAATAACAAGTATTAAAAGTAATTTTAAAAAACCGACTTCAAAATCGTGCAGATGCCGTCACCACATCTTAACCAAATTTATATGGGACCACCCCTGAGGTACCCCCTTACTAACAAAAAAAGAATTATAGAAATTAGACATGGTGGTAAAGAATTATCGTTAAACATACATAAAAAATGAAGAGTTTGAGGATTTTTCTCAAGGACCCAATTATTAGATTTTGACCAAATTTATATGGGACCACCCCTGAGGTACCTACTTACTAACAAAAAAAAATCATAGAAATTAGACAAGGCGGTAAAGAGTTACCGCTGAACATATATAAAACAAAAATGTTACGACGAATTGAGAACCTCCTCCTTTTTTGAAGTCCGTTAAAAATGAGTAAATTTATAGTAGGACTTTATATTCTATACCCGAATTACTAAACAGACAGTAATTTTATTGGCATAGGCATTCTTATGCCTATGCCTATGTTTGGAGTGGCGGATGGTTGACGGTTGATTTTGTTATGTATTTATCAGTTTCGTGTTTTAAAATTTGTTAATTTCGGACCCTTTAGAGCAATTTTTAAGAAAAGAACCATCCAATTAATTGGACTTAAAAACAAAATAAAAGAAAACTCAACTAAGATGAGGTTGTAAGAGAGGAGGAATTTTGGGGAATTTGAAATTATAGAAAAAGCAAATAAGACAATGCTAAAAATTCAAAGAAAAAATAATTTAAAATAAGTTAGACGGAAATAATAATCAAATGCACAGAAAATTCAAATGAATGGATCAAAGAAAAGTTTATTTAGAGAAATTTTTGGTGAATTGAAAACGAACTACATTAGATGTATAGAAAACAAACTGAATGGATCAAAGATTTAATTTTAATAAATTTTAGGAGACGAAAAAATAGCACCTCCAAAATTAGTTAGTGATGAGAAGACAAGAGATAGGAAAAACTGAGAAGAAATTAAATGGCAGGTAAAATGACATTGGAAAAATTAATGGTAAGATGGCAAAGCTAATCTATTCAATTCAGTAAATAGAAAAGTAAAGGATAAAGAGTTATAATAATACTTTACCTAATTCACCCTCTTACGAGTGAATTTTAACCCCAAAAGCTGAGCTTGTCCGGGAAAAGGATGGTTATTATTTTCCGTGGCGCTCTATGGCGACTTAAAGATAAGATTGATGGTGCCATTTGACTTACATGTGTGGAAAACCCCACCGATTATCATCGAAACGGTAACGCATGGCGATTTTTATAATCTGGATGTCATATCAACAGAAATTAATTTTCTGCTAATACGGCATACATCAAATCCTATAGAGAACCATGCAATGTCACATGGTCTTCTAAAGGTTCGAAGCCGGTGTGTCTCTGAACCATAAAAATGCTTGCAAATGAATGCGAGCGCGTTAGACACCTACGCTACCGATCCGAAAGAGAAACTAGCCGACAAGGAAACTAATTGGAAAACCAGCGTCAAAAGGACTGATAAAATAAAATGTATTCAATGAAGGAAGTGAAGAACGAGGAATAAAGAGTTACGCAGATTCAAATAACCTAATAATTGGAAAATCGGCACTCTTCGATACTTCTGTTAATAGTGATATTGAAAAGTAGTTCAAACCAAATCCCGCTCTGAGCTAGTGAGTCTAGATAGTTAGGCTGTAACACTCTTAATAGAGTTACGTACCACTTTTGGCGCCCAACGTGGGGCCGGTTTTTTGAACTATTATAGGTTTGTTCCAACAACGATCTTGAAACCATACATAAACCAGTCCGACTTATTGTTGACAATCTGTCGACAATTTGACAGCCTGTCGGGGATTGAGACTCAACTCGGAACTCAGTTGTTGAAACACATTTTTATTAAATTCGACAGACGCACTATTACAATAATACACTACAAAATAAAACAAATGATAAAGAACAAAAACTATGAAGACTAAAATCGATTGACAAATACAAATCAGAGATACAAATAATATAATATAATAATAATCACGAAATTTTCAAGTTATTGCGTATGTCTTGAAAACATGTTCCTATTCAGACCCTGATTTGACAGTACACAAATCGGTTTGTGATTAGTTTTGGTTGGGTTGGAACACTAGGTTTTCGTACAGTTTTGAGTCTCCAACACAAATTCTAGACTGCGCAGAATCCCGACAGTACGTAAACTGATTTGGTTTGTGTTGGAAAAAACCTGATGACTAAAGAAAAAAATTGTAAAATCTGCAAAAGTTGAAAAATGAAAATCATATATATTGTTACGCAGCTTTTTGGTATCACAATTTATTCCAATTCAACTTTACAATAACTCAATTCAACTTTAACAAGAATTATACCACTGATAACATTAACATGTAACATCTATCATAAAAACTGACATCAGGATCATCCTTATATAGCTTGCTTGATCCTTCTCGAACTGTCGTCTAGAATATTCTTGACGGGTAACGACATTTCTCGATATTTCTGGACTATTCTATCTTCTTTTACTTATGAGGACCGCAGCACACTGTAGGGCGATGAGTAACATTCCACTTCTTTTTCTATCTGTACGTTTCCTATAATAGCCGCAGGCTACTGCAGGGTGCTGCGTAACATTGCTTCTTCCTCTCTAGTTATTCGCCCCGAATAACTCGATTGCTGGGACCTGGTTGGAGCCAACGGCGAGGATCGGGACCACGATATGGCGCTAACTTTTGAACATGAACTACCCTGGGTTTACTCCCCGCTGACAACTGAATGCGGTAGATTAGGTCGTTGATTTTCTTGAGGACGGTGTAGGGGCCTTCCCAGTTCTGTTGCAGTTTCTGACAAAGTCCTTTTCGGCGCTTGGGATTGTACAGCCATACTGGATCGCCTCTCTCAAAATGTGTCCCTGTGGCATGCATGTCGATTCTAGCTTTTGCTTTATCGCTACTAACTTTTAAACGTTGCCGAGCGAATTCGTATACCTTCTCTAATCTTTCTCTTAAGTTATGTATGTACGTGGGAGGTGTACGACTTTCTTCTTCGCCAGGAGGCTGCCTTCCAAAAAGAAGATCATGGGGAAGTTTCATCTCCCTTCCAGTAATCATCATGGATGGAGTATAACTCGTCGTTTCATGTTCAGAACTTCGGTAGGCTAGCAGAAATAGAGGAATTAAAGTGTCCCAGTCCTTTTGATTATCAGAGACGAACATTGAAAGATACTGGCATATCGTTCTATTGTGTCTTTCTACCATTCCGTCGGACTGTGGGTGGAGAGGCGTAGTGCGTGTTTTCCTGATGCCTAACAGTTTCATCAATTCTTGCCATAATTCGGATTCAAAATTTCGTCCTTGGTCAGAATGTAACTCCAATGCAATTGCAATGACGTTTGTCACAAATGCTTCCGCTACTGTCGTCGCTTCCTGATTAGGAATAGGCACTATTTCGGGCCACTTTGAAAAATAGTCCATAACAACCATCAAGTATTTGTTTCCTCTTTCCGTTAAGGGAAGTGGTCCGAGGATGTCTATAGTGATTCGTTCGAAAGGCTCTCCGGAAAGGTACTGTGCCATTTATACCTCGACTTCTTGTTTTGGGCCCTTTTCTGCCATTACAAAGGTCACATTCCTTACACCGATCTTCTACATCCCGTCGGCAATTGACCCTATAAAATATTTCCCGAACTCGTGCAAGTGTCTTTTTAGTACCAAAGTGTCCTCCTGAACGGCTGCTATGAAGCTCCTCCAACACACTTTTGACCTGTGATTTCGGCAGTATTACCTGGCGAATTACAAGTACTCCATCGGAGCTCTCCCACTTCCGGTGCAATAGGCCATCGTGAAGATACAGGGAATCCCACTGAGTCCAGTACCCTTTAATGGTTCCACTACATTTGGCTATCTCTTGCCATGTAGGTCTGACACCATTTTTGAGACATTCTTCAAGTCATCGTCTTTCTTTTGAGTCTTTCTAGGGTGATTCCGTCTTCGTCATCCTCTGGTTTGATAGTGGTCGCCTGAAGACTAACTTCTTCAACCAGCTCTTCTCGTTCTTCAAGCCTTTTACAGTATCGGCATTGTCGTTCTAAACACGGTCGCCTGGAAAGAATCACTCAAAAATATATCTCCGAGAGAAATTTTTGTGTTTACACTGGAGTAAATAACTGCCAGACATAAATTTCATGCAATAAATGTCAGATGTAAACGTACCTTACTATAACCTAGCTTTCTGATAATTTCTCTTTTTGGTTTAAACATTTATTTATAATCGAATTTTGTTATAGATCTGTATTTTTTATTACGAATTACATCATGAAGGTCTGTGCAGTGAAAAACTGCAAAAATACTAATCAATTTTCTAAATGTCATTTTTCTCATGTGACAGCAACCAATGTTCTGATTGGTGACGCCAGACTTGTCAAAAATACTCCAGACCAATAGGGAGGAGGTACCGAGGTCATTGAGATTTGAGCCAATATTTAACATGGGAAGTATAGGGAGTGACAGGCCTGTGATTAAACTGTGAAGAGTATAATATAGAATGCCAAGCATTATATATCTTCATTCTAGTTTATTTTATATAAAAAGAGGACATATAATTTACAAAGTAGTTTAGCAAAAAAAATCCATTCAGATGTAACAAGACAAATCATAAAATAATTATTAAAATTTACAAAGTACTGTCGCTAAAATTTTGCTACTCAGATGTAACAGAAGGCCATGAAATAATTATTAAAATTTTGTTGCTAAATGTCTACATTGTAAAATAGAAAAATATATAAAAACTCTAATGTGTCATATATTAGGTATGTTTAACTGATAATATTTGACAACGTTGTAATTGTAACCATTTGTAATTATTATTCTATTGGCTAGGTATGAAGTACAAATAATAAATAATAATAGTATTTAGATCCATATAATATGAAGGATTTCTTAGAAAACAAAAGACCTTTTGTTTTATTTAGTTTATCTCAAAAAGTGTGTTTGCATTATATAGACTGATCCATAAAAAATATTTCTTAGTAGGCCATGGAAAAAATGCATCTCAGAAGGTACAATTATTTTTTTACTGTCAGTTCAGGGCCGACGAGAGGGGGGTAGCTGGGACAAATTCCCAGGACCCGGGCTCAAGTGGGGCCCGGCAGCACGATGTCTTCTATATTCGCCACATTTAGAGATTTCACTAAAGAGGAGGAAAAGTTTTTGCTTGAAGACCTTTTTTTTAGAAATGTGATATTGAAAGGACTTAATTTTTTTTATAAAATTGTTGCGGGGCTTGACCTGAAAAATTGTCCCGAGGCCCGACCTGGCTCTCGACAGCCCTGGGTTAGTTTGGATTAATTCAGAGCTGTGCGTAGTTATCAGTGATATGACTTGTATATTTGTCAGTCATGGCCTACTTTAGAAACATTTTTTTTGTGGATCACTCTTTATGTATTTAACAAGCAACATTTTAAGAGTATTGCATGACTGGCATGTGTAAAATGCAATGTCATCAAAAGTGCTAGCGAAGTCATTTAAAAATTTCTATCCACATTTAAAATTATTGGTATTTTTGGTACAAATTTAATTATCCTGTACATAATCAAAAAGAACAAAACTAAATGTTAAAATACTCTTGAGCTAATTTTATATGTTTTTGACTTGATGAATTTTGATTTGTATTCCATTTAGAGTTTTGGATGCTGTATAAACTTTTAACAAGAATACATTTTTTTAAGAAACCAATATCAATAATACAGTTTTTGAAACTTTCTGGTGGATACTGTGTACAGACAGGGAAAATTGAATTGAACAATATCAGTAGATGTGTATTGTCAAGAATTGTTTTTATTAAAATAGTGGGTCCTGTTTTCAAGAAATTTGAGAAACTTAAATTGAGGATATACCTCCAACTCCCCTTTCTAGATCCTATATTTAAAAAAAATTAAGTATTTCTCATAATGATCTTTTGAGATATAACTATTATAACTGCAATAAAACATAAAAGCCTTGCATGAATAGGGCACCTTAATAATAAATTTAACAAATGGTTTAAAATTTATCAATTATGTCTTACTCAGCACATATGTTTGTAGATTACTTCAAAATTTACATGACTAAATAGGTCTGATTAAAATTGTATGATCAAATTTCAAAGTAAATTAGTTTGCTTCTCTCATTGTGTCACAATAGGTTTGAATTTTCAAAAATGTAGATATATTTAATTTGATGGGATTATATAGTCAGTGGTGGTGATTACTAAATATTTCAATGATAAACTTAATCGAAAATTAGAGACTAGGTATAATTTCCAAAAGTAAAACTAATTGCAGTTTCTTTCTGGTTAAGAGATTCTTAATTATTAAATTGAATTAGGATCCACCCTAAAATTACCTTTTAAAAATAAATGGGAAAATGTTATTCTATTATCCCAAGTATAATTGACATGATTGTATCTGTAATAAGCGAACAAACATAGCTGCATTGTAACAAGGATTATTTTAATAACTTGCACTCCAAATTTGTATGGAAATCTTTTCTTAGCTTGCCACTTTTCTATAGGATTCATAAAGAAGAATTGAAGTTTCCTTCGCATTTTTTCTTCAGTTAATAAAGGTTTTGTCGGAGCATTACAACAATCTTCTGGACATGTTTGGTGGCAGGTTTCGATAATATCCACTTCTGGAGACCTTTGGTATTCCATTTTTGTAAGTTCAAATTTAATACTTGTTGAAATATTGTAATGTGTTTCTTCAAAGCCAACAATTTAAACTAATTATTGTTTATAATTTCATAACGTAACATGTACCCTGAAAAGTTTGCCAATGTCGCACTACACAGTCCTTGACCTTTTTGTCAACAATATGTTTCTGTTATCCGTTTGCTCTATTTTTTATAAAATGGTACAATTTCAACAAAGACAACAGAGATAAACAAATCACTCATGTCTTGCTAATCACATGATCACTGACGTACGTCGTTCGCATGTCGTTCGTCATGTCATAAATTTGACATCACATAGGAGGCGAGTTCGGATAGTCAGGGGCTGGAGCGGGACAAAAGCGGAGTTTTTACGGTACTTTTAAATGACATTTAAGCGTGTTAAACTGTCACTAATCGGACTAAACCCAATGAACTGGAGGGGGGTAGAATGCCAATCACAAAGCACATAGAGGTTCCACGTGAATGACCAAGGTCAAAACCGACAATTGACATTTTTTATGCTATTTGCTCCAAACTCTAGATGGGGCTACTGGTAAAATTCTGATTTCTTACTCCATTTTTAAGCTTTATGGGAGAAAAAAACCAAAGACTCCAAAGATGTGACGTGTATTTATTTATGTTTTTGGTTAATCTCATTTTTCCGTCTGATTTTAGTGATTTTTTGTTGGCTTTTGGTTTCTGTTTATAGTTTCGTCTTAGTTATAACCTACTGTGTTTTGCAATAATTTTGGTGCTACGTTGAAAACATGGAGGAAGGCATGGAGGAAGGATAATTACGTTGAAAACTTCGAGAAAAACTTCATTGATTCACCATGCATCTGCATCATAAAAAGAAACGGGTATAACAACTAATTGATAATCAATTTATCACTGGACTAGATTCCGAAATCATTTTTCACATAAGAGAGTAATACACAAAGCAGTGGAGTAATACCACCATCTGTATTTGGAAGGAAAATACCTATTTATCATTGAATGAATAGTTAAAAGGATTCACCTTTTAATACAATACCTATATTACATTTGTCCTCGGTTTAAAAGACATTTATAAAATATATTATTTTAGTGTTAATAAAATGTAATATCCTAGTCTCTACTTCACATTTAAATTATTGATAGGTATTTTAAAGATTTGAGATTATATACCTATTTGCTGCAAGTAAGTATTCGTTAAATATGTATTATTATTTGTATTTATTTTTATCTAATAATATTATTTAAGTTATTAATAAACATATTTTAAGAATGTTCTATTTTATTGTTTATTGATATATCTTATATTTATTTAATAATAATATGCAGAACCAACTCCACATCAGACCCCTGCTTATAACAAATTAATTCCTCAAATTTGGTATAATCGACCTAAATTATTTTGTAAAATAAAAGTTTCGAACTTACTAGTTCCATTCTTTATTTTATAAAATAATTTATGTGGAAATCATTTAAAATTTAATTTCAAACTACTACCTACTCCTAAAAATTACAATTTGAATTTACCGCCATCTGTCAATTGTCATTTTAGTTCCAGCTCCAAACACAAGGTGGCGCCAATTTGGTTTAAAAGTTTAACATAGGCTGCGTTCATCCGCGCCACATGCTACCTGATCGATCTGGTAGCGCTCTCGAGTGGCACGTATGAACGGTGTATTTTGACATTTCGCTCAAGGAGCAGCCGCCATTAAAAGTAGCGCATTTTATTTACGTCTGATCGGTGATCACTGATCTGTCTTACGCACTTACGTCCACGGTTTGCTTGGTGACTAGTAGGGTTATATTAGCATATTAGCAATTGAAAAATAAACAAACAAATCTTCAACCAGAGACATTCAACTCAAAAGTAAAATGAATAAACCAAAATCAAATGTCACTTTTAAACATGGTTCATCCGTGCATAAAGATCGATCAGGTAGCGTAAGTGATCGCTACTTTTGTAGCGCTCCTTGAAATGGCGCGGATGAACGCAGCCATTGGCGTGGGGTCTCTAGAAGATACGTGCTTTGTGATGCCAATGTACATGTTGTACTATTAGAACAAGGTGCGACTCGATGGGCGCAGCCATTTTTATTGTTCATCTCACTCGGGACTATTTATAATATCCATTTTCTGTTTCACATTGTTATTGTTCAATCCACAAGCTGGTGGATCAGACAATAACAATCTGAAATAGAAAATGGTTATTTTAAATACTCCCGAGTGAGAAGAAAAATAACCTATCTTCGCCCATAGAGTCGCACATCAAGTCTATTGACAAGCATTCCTACCCCACTCCAGTTCATTGACTAAACCGAACGCTAAGAGGGTCGTTTGGAGTAAAAAGTGTTAAAGGAGTTAAAGGAACTTGGCAGACCGAACGCAATGACTTTAGGTTCTTTCGTTCGTCCCATTGGTGTAGGAATGAACTACACCAACGGACACTAAACCTTTCGTTTGGCCCAGTGTAAAACTTACTATACCTTCCTGTCGGCGATGTGGTGTCCACTGGTGGATATTTTTTCTACCAGCTATTTAACAGGAGTGAATTACACTCGATATGTGTATAAGGAATAAAGAGGAAGTAAGGTGGTGTAATTTACACTGGTGGAGACTGCACCAATAGCAAACAAAAGAACAACGTGTGGTGTAGGATTTTAAAGTCAAAATTGTCATCTAGTCCAGCTGTCAGCTGTCAATTTTCCATTTTCCAACATTTTGAGGTTGATGTACGACAAAAAAATTACTCATAAAAAATTACCTGTAGTGGTTCATTGTTCATTGTGGACAATTACGTATTTATAATTTGAATATTTTAATTATAAGGAAGAAACGAGTATGGCTCAGTAATAATTAGTTGATGAATAATGTTAGCATATTAGTGACCTTTTTAGTTCTACATCTACTATAAATATGGCAAATGTAGAAATAAGACATTTGCTTAAGAGAAATCGGTAAGTTATTTCCAAAAATTATGGTTTCAAACATGTTTTAAATTAACTGATTACATTTTAGGATACCAGAAAACGATGTCAACTTATTAATTTTTATACTGTACCTTCCTATTGGACTAATTTTAATATTATTAAGATCCGTATTACTCTTAGGTCTCTTTATCCTTGGCCAAGTTTTGCCAGATACATCTGTCTCGCAGAAACTTATAAATAAAATAGCTTGTTTAGGCTTAGGCATATCTATACACATTGAAAATCCAAAAAGTAAGGAAAATGTTAATGTATATGTTAGCAATAGTTTATCTATTTTTGATCAAATAGCTGTATGTAGTGCCACTGGGGCAGTATCGGTAAGTTAATTTTTATTTTATATCTGAACATTTAAAAATTTAATTAGGTTACTTTCACTTTTCCATTTAATTATTTTACAATAATGGATAATTGAACTTTATTTAGTCTAGTTTATAAAGTAAACATTTTATTTGTATTATTATTAATTTTTAGCCATACTAAGTATTCATTTTTGATTTTGTCAACCATTTTTATTTTAATTAAATGCTGAAAATGTTTGTGTACCTATAATGTAACAGGTTTTCTATTCCTTGATATTTCAACTTTTCAAATTGACATTAAAGAAAATTGTATATTAAGTGGTCAACAATATTCTAGTTTAATAATTACCTACCTACATTGAAATCATATTTTGTCAGGTTCATCAGCCATCATAAAGTATAATATGAATATTAGTGAACACAGTATTTTACACTATCTTTAATTTTTCACTTTGACATAACTACTGTTCAGAATCCTGGTGTCTGGTGTCAATAATATAAATGTATTATAATATTTACTAATTAAACAACATATAGGTATTTAAGAAAATACAATTTATTAATTCGCCTCGCCCACCTCATTTAAAATACAGTTACTACAACTAAATGCTAGTGCATCTGTGCGTATCTCATTGCAAATTGTACTTGTTCTTTCATTAATTACAAATGTACACAATATTAATCTACCAAATTTTGAATCTAGATTTCACCGGTTTTCAATACTAGTTACTGACATTCTGCACACTTTGATATTATGATCCATAGTTTTGTCACCATCAGTTCACTTACATGTGCTCAATAAGTTTAACCCTTTTTTGAGTCTATACACCAAGATATGATTGTCTAAAAGTTGGAGTACTTCAATGTTGGTGTGTTTGTGGAGCCTCTCATTATGTCTCTTGGCAATTTTCTTAATTTCTTCTGAAACTGATTCAACTTTGAGTTTGAGCAACTCTGTATATTGTTGCTATATATTTTCAAACTTTATAGCTTAAAAATAACAATCTTAACACTAAAAAAATTAAAAAGACATGGATATACGGGAAATAAGTACCTTATTATCTGCTCTAATCCCACACATGAACTCTTATGGTCAAATCTAAAGGTAAAACATATTAAAGAAAATAAAAATATTTTCCTAGTATTTTAATAAAAAAAAAAACTAATTTACCTAACCTGTGGCTGAGAGCTTAGTGTGCAAACACATAAAGCAACAATTAAGCAGTTATCTCTCCGGTCACGTCGACCGACAACGTGGAATAGATGTAGATGAATGAGAGAGTGAATTGGTGAATGGGAAAGTAGTAGGACCTTCAAGTGGTGGTACAATAAGCCGCAGTTAAACTAAAAAAACCTGTGGGGCCTGGAGTTAACGTGTGTTGCTTCAAACTTTTTAAGCTATTGCATAGCTTTTATCGCGGGCTTTGAGCGCCGACCGAATCAGGAAATTTCGTAACACCATAACGAAAATAAACCTAACACCCCCCACTCCGATCGGCACAGCGGTACGGCGTTATAGCCATGGAAGGTTTTATCCGACCCTATTCGTATTAGTATAAAGCGGAGTTAAATATACGTCTGCGGACTGAACATTTATGCAATACAAGAACTAGAAGAGCTTTATCTGGCTTCTAATTAATCGGTATCACAAATGTTCCCTGCTGGCGTAAATATTAGATATTAATTTTTAACACGCTTATATTAGCTTTACCTGTATGTATGTTTTTAACTCTCCTTTGGGCTCAAGTGGCTTATTACTGTCAGTATATCCCACTAAGTCAAGTTCGTTCGTGGCCGAGCGGTCTAACGCGCGGATTTTCGATTTGGCAGACTCACCGATCCTGGGTTCTAATCCCCACGCTGCATAGCTTTTATCGCGGGCTTTGAGCGGCAGACTTCGGCACGGTGTTTGTGTGCGTGCGACTAGACTTATGCCTGTAGACTAGCTGCTAACTACTCATAATTGATTCTATCTCTTTTAGACCCAATGCTAGGTGAGACACGTGCTTTTGGCCGCGTCCACGAGTGAGTTCGAACCCACTGGAGTTGTACAGTATATTTTTTCTACGACTCACAAAAATCGAAAAATCAAAAAATCGAAAAAGAAATTCCATAACGAAAATAAACCTAACACCCCCCCACCCCGACCGGCACAGCGGTGCGGCGTTGAAAGCGGTGTATGTGTGCCTGCGATTAGACGTATGCGTGTAGACTAGCTGCTAACTGCTCATAACTGATTCTCTCTATTAGACACGATTTCTAAAAAATTGAATTTGAAAATGAATAATGATCCACAAGAATTCACAACAAAATATGGGACCACCATTGACGCGGTATTTTCCAGATATTTAGAGGATATCAACTCTCAAACTTATGTTTCTTATTTCAGTCACCATAAACCTATAGTTTCAATGATAAAAATTCCTGAATAACCTACATGTATTGTAAGATAATAAAAATATTTTAAACAATATTAACTTCTCAGTTATTCAATAAAAGAAAAAAAATTGTTTTCTTATCGGTCACCACGCTCAAAAAGTGTAACTTGAATTAATATCAAAGAAAAAACTTGAATTAATATCAAAGAAAAAAATACTGGATAAATAAAATATATAATTATAATTGCATAAGTTGATAAAAAATGCTATGCAATAGCTTTACCGCGGCAGTCCCCGAGTGCCACACGTATTTTTATTTTTGAAATTTTGCCATTCGAAGTTTGGCCATTCGAATTTTTCTATTTTGAACTTCACCAAACATGAACAGTCGTAATAACATACGTTCAAGAATAGAAATAAAACGCGTTTGTATGTGATAAAGATATCTCTGAAAGGGTGTCATATTGCAGGTTCACACCAAAATTGGTGAAATGGCATATATATTGAATATGTACAGTTTTAGACAGTTTTTTGTTAGCCTTGTTAGGCATTTTTATCTATATTTTTTTATTTGAAAATGTAAAGTCAATTTTTAATTATTGTTATTGCATACATTTTTCTGGATTAAAATCAGATAAACTTGACACAAATTCTATTGTGCTCTTCATATATTCATATATTTTAAAGAGATGCAGATAAGAACTTTTGACACATGTTACCTGTACTTCAAATAAAAAACACATTCTTCAAAATTAAGTATTATTATATTTTAGCCCAGTTGTAGAACAACACTAGAAAAGGTTCTAGGTCTTAGTACTTACTGCTTTGGTTCTGTTACCAACTTAGACAACTTTAAAAATAACATAAAACAATTTATTGCTGAGAAAAAGACACCACTGTACTTTGCACCTGAAGAAAAAATTACCAATGGCAAGGCTCTTCTAAAATTTAAGACATATCCTTTTGAATTTACAAATAAGGTCAGTATTAATATATTTTAATTATTAAATTCAAATGGATTGAAAAATCTTTTTACGGTTATAAAAAATTATAATTATATGCAGGATTTGTTTGCGAATCCAAGGGTCCTCGTTTCGAATCCCACCGTTGGCCAGGTTTTTTTTAATTTAATTATTTAAAAATAATTTTGATGCCTAGGTATGATTCCCCACTCCAACCATTCACTGTTGGGTTATAATTAACAGTGTTGTTCCTGAACTGGCGCTGGGAAACAGTACCAAAGCTAACATACACTAGTGGAAAAAATATTCGCGAATTGCGAATATTCTCAATGTGGCACGTGATTTTCTAAAAAAACCTCAAAAAGATCTGTTTTCCGACCGGCGTGACAACAGCCACGAGTTCCAGCCATGAGTTTGACGGCGGGAACCAAAGCGCCAGCGGTAATCAATCCATGGCTGGGCCGTGAATCCATGGCTGAGCCGTGAATCCATGGCTGGGCCGCGAATCCATGACTGGGCCGTGAAGAATTAATTTATTGTAAACAAACTGTGATAAATCGTATGTATCTAAATTACAAAAAAATATTTATCCTCAAAACAAGCCTTTATATTAAACACTTAAAAATCTTTACTGGCTTAAAATGCAAGTAAATTATTTTTTTTATATACAAATTAGCTTGTATTTATGTCTTCTATTTGATGTATATGTCAGAATATTTTGCCGGGCAGGAAATCACCCTCAAATCCAGCCCTTCTATTAAACACTAAAAAAATCTTAGCCTTTTTAAATTGGAATAAAATGAAACTTTTTTTATATAAATTTGATAATATTTACGTACTCAACCTAATGTATATCTTAAAATATTTTGCCAGGCTGTAAATCACCCTCAAATCAACCCCTTGTATTAAATATTAAAAAAATATTTACTAACTTAAAATGAAACTAAATAAATTTTTTTTAAAACAAATTAGCTTATGTTTACGTCTTCTATTTGATGTATACCTCAGAATATTTTGCCGGGCTGGAAATCACCCTAAAACCCATCCCTTCTATTAAACAATTAAAACATCTTGGCCTGCTTAAATTGGAATAAAATGAAACTTTTTTATACATAAATTTGATAATATTTATGTACTCAATCTAATGTATATCTCAAAATATTTTGCCGGGCTGTAAATCACCCTCAAATCAACCCCTTATATTAAATATTAAAAAAATCTTTACTGGCTTAAAATGCAACTACATAAATTTTTGTTAAAACAAATTAGCTTATATTTACGTCTTCTATTTGATGTATACCTCAGAATATTTTGCCGGGCTGGAAATCACCTTCAAATCAACCCCTTATATTAAATATTAAAAAAATCTTTACTGGCTTAAAATGAAAGTAAATAATTTTTTTTATAAACAAATTAGCTTGTATTTATGTCTTCTATTTGATGTATATGTCAGAATATTTTTCCGGGTAGGAAATCACCCTCAAATCCAGCCCTTATATTAAACACATAAAGAAACTTAGCCTTCTTAAATAGGAATAAAATGAAACTTTTTTTATATAAATTTGATAATATTTATGTACTCAATCTAATGTATATCTCAAAATATTTTGCCGGGCTGTAAATCACCCTCAAATCAACCCCTTATATTAAATATTAAAAAAATCTTTACTGGCTTAAAATAAAAGTAAATTAATTTTTTTATAAACAAATTAGCTTGTATTTATGTATTCTATTTGATGTAAATTTCAGAATATTTTGCCGGGCTTGAAATCGCCCTCAAATCCAGCCCTTATATTAAATACCTAAAATATCTTTGCCTGCTTAAATTGGAATAAAATGAAACTTTTTTTATATAAATTACATATATCTCAAAATATTTTATGTGCTAGTATTGTCTTATTTCCGTTAAAAACTATTTATTTGTTTATTTTGAAAATGATATAATACCCAAACAATCGCCAAGTAAGAACTGAATATTAACAGAGACGTGTAACTTAATAGGAAAATATGTTCGGTGGTCCATTTAAATTACATATATGACCCTCTTTTTCTTTTACATTGATCTTTACATATGTCTATCTCTCTCCAATAAAACTAACACCATTTTCAGAGGGCGCTGGTGTTGCTGGTTTTTGACGTAGAAATATCGATTAAAAGTATTAAAACTGACAATGTTATGAATGTTGTTATGAACATGTGAATTTTATTAAAATTAATTTAATTTGGGCCCCGTATATTTCTTTTAGTCTGATTTTGTTGTTTAATTAATTTTCTTTGAGGGGGAATGTTTATTTTTGCATATTACCTATTTTTTGCATGAAGCAATTTCTGGAGCCACTCTAAAGGAAGAAAAAAAAAATTGAATCACAAAAGGGCAGAATTTTAAATCAGGATGCATTGGAAAATAAATTTGTTGACATCAAGTCGGTTTTGGATTTTATAGAGAGATCAATCTCAAGAAAAGTTAATTTATCCTGCAGAACAACCAGTAGTTTAAGTAGGATTTGCTATAACTTTATTAGAAATTTTCTTTGATAATAAATTGTAATATAGGTACCAATTATTGTTTCAAATGAAATTGAAAAAGAGTTAAATATGAAATTAGATTTTTCATGAGTAAAATGTTATATTCATTTGAACATTGTAAGGTAATCTATAATTAAGGGAATATGGAAAATAGGTATACCCTGGTGGTGTAAGAGAAAGGTAAGGGGCAATGACAAAAAAATTACAAAAATGTATTTATCTTTAAATAGTGTTTATTATTAATAATATTATTTGCTATGTTTGAAAAGTACCTCCTGCTTCTGAACAGATCGAATAGATCAGACTACTAGTTGGAGAAGGTCCACCTAGTAACCAAATTAGGAGACTAGGAAAACTTTTACATGACTGGGGACACAACAGGAATGCACACACACAAGATACACAAACAAACGAAATAACAGGGGTAAGCCTTCAGCAACGTCCTGTTTAAATGATGATAGTATGTCATCCTTCATTCCCTTTTAGAAGGCATGGCATATAAATATATTGATCTTGATTACTATAAGAGGAGTTAGCAGGGGTCTAGCAGGTTTCGATCCAGTTTACAGGATGGGAACTTACTTGACTCGGGCCTTATACATTTGTGTTGAGTGTATGTATGTTTCGTTTCCATGGTTTCTATTAAAATAAACAGTCATACAGTTCATCAAATTTCTAGAGGTGTTCGACGCCCAGACAGAGAACGCGCTACGTGTGACTAAGATAGCTATTGTACAGTCTGCTAAACAAGTTATTTTAAATAGTTTTTAATATTTTTAGGTAATTAAATTTTAAAAGTGTGGAATAGTTTAGGGATTAAATTGGTCTGATTGGACTTTCTTAGAACGTTTTTAAAAGCAGCTAAAGATAGTATGTAGAATTGAAAATAATTATTATGCCATAAAAGGTGTTTTGGAATTCCTTCAACCTTTTTAAATTGAGTCAGAAAATATAAATTTTATAGGATAGCGGAAAATACCTATAATTTTTTTGTAGGCCTTTGTAAATCGTGGAAATAGTTTATATTTTATTTCTACCTTATTAAGGAAAATGGTACCTATTATTAATAACGGTTGTTTCTTAAACATTACTAAAATTTTCGAAATTTTGTTTTTCTACAAAATAATAAACTATACTATTTAGAAAAAAAATTATTTCTCTTATAATTTTATAAAAAATAACAGGGGAATATTTACATTTCTTGATCTATTAAACAAAACGATAAATTATCTCGACGAATGACACCATGTTCTAGTACAGAAGCTAGCTTTACATTTTTATTGGTGGTTTCATGGGTTTCATATCAATTTTTTGTAATGGTAGTTTACACGTACATATACCTCTTAACACTTGTTTGCTTTATTAAAAAAGTGTGTTGTGATTTACGTCGAAATAAGTCAAAAACAACTTGAAACCCCATATAAAATCAAAAAGGAGAAACGGAAAAAAATTGAGCCTGTAAATGAACACAACTCAGAAACAAAAATAGCTATCTAATAATAAAAAAATAAAATTTGATTCTTGTGCAGCTTCATCTATATCATTAACTGTTTTTGGTTTTTTAATGGTTTTTCTTGGTGATGAAAATTCCGATATCTCACGGTTATCGATTCTTTTTTTCTCTCCAGAAATGCGGACGACAGTGTTTTTAGATACTCCTGTGGCTGCAGCAACACGATCATTTACATTTTTAAATGGTATTGAAGGTGAATTAAAGTTTCCTTCTCTTCTCATAAACTCTATAACATTGGCTATTATTTCGCGAGATTGACTGTTAATCACGCGGCCTCTTAATTTGCTATTAAACTCCATACTTAGGTTCTATTAAACTGTAATGAGCAAAAAACACAAACGAAAATAAAAGAAATGTTTTAGCGAAATTTACATCTGACATTTACGTCTGAATGAAATAGTCGGGATGCCTGTCAGTAGTGCTTTCTCTGTCTAGCCGTCGAAAGCCTCTAGAAATTTGATGAACTGTAACATATCCATACCTTTTTGCCAGACTAACATAAGTGACATTTGTTCAAATGGCACTTATGATAGTCTGGCAAAAAGGTATCGATACTATACTTTATAAAATATTTGTTACATTAGTTTTTAAATATATTATGAATATATAACAACTGTTACTTTCTTTGTAATTTGTCACAAAATGATAGGAGGTACTTTCTAAACGAAGCAATTGTAGTTTGTTTTTCTGTACCTTACAAAAATATAATTTATAGAAAAAGAGTTTGGTGTATTATTTTTCCAAGTTTAAATATTTACTAATCAATAGAATTTTCAAGTTTTTTTTTTAGCGAAATTTACAAGAGTAATAAAAACTATGTTCACTGTTTATATTAAACTGATTAAAACTTCCTTTATTAAAATGATTATTTATGTGATAAAAAATTTGATGTTATTGGAAGCTTTTATATTTTTTTAATATACAGTGAAACAATAGTTTTTGTTTCTCCTGTAAATTTGTATAGAAAAACTTTATTTCTGAATCCATGTTTGAATTTCCCGCCCTAAAGCATTTTTAATTTTCCCGCTATTTACTAGTGGCGCCATCATAGACTGGTTGTGGTTACAATCGCCCAAATAACTTTTACCGAACAAAAAAAATACATTGAGTTACACGTCTCGCTGGATTGTCTCTGATATTAAGTATCTAATTTGTGTATACCTAAAGAAAAAATTCATGACCTTCAGATTAAACCACTAGAGATTTTTTAAGTGTTTAATTATGGGAAGATAAAGTGAGGGTGATTTGCTGACTGGAAAAATATCATACTATATTCAGGGTGTTTCAGAAAAAATTACCGTAAGAAGAGGGATTTGTAGATAGATCTTAACTAATTATTAAGATAAGCTAAATATAATTTTGCTGTAAACGTCCCAATGTTCATTATACAGGGTGCGATTGATTTTAGGGTGATTTCCAGCCCGGAAAATATTTTAAAATATACATCAAATAGAGACATAAATACAAGCTAATTTGTTTATAAAAAATTCATTTAATTGCATTTTAAGTCAGTTAAGATTTTTTAAATGTTTAATATAAGGGCTGGATTTGAGGGTGATTTCCAACCCGGCAAAATATTCTGAGATATACATCAAATAGAAGACACAAATAGAAGCTAATAAATTATTTACTTGCATTTTAAGCTAGTAAAGATTTTTTAAATATTTAATATAAGGGGATGATTTGAGGGTGATTTACAGCCCGGCAAATTATTTTGAGATATACATTAGGTTGAGCACATTAATATTATCAAATTTATATAAAAAGAGTTTCATTTTATTCCAATTTAAGCAGGCCAAGATTTTTTAAGTGTTTAATAGAAGGGCTGAATTTGAGGGTGATTTCCTGCCCGGCAAAATATTCTGTCATAATAGAATACATAAATACACGCTAACTGGTTTATAAAAAAATTAATTTACTTGTATTTTAAGGCAGTAAAGATTTTTTAAATATTTAATATAAGGGGTTAATTTGAGGGTGATTTACAGCCCGGTAAAATATTTTGAGATATACATTAGGTTGAGCACATAAAGGTTATCAAATTTATATAAAAAAAGTTTCATTTTATTTCAATTTAAGCAGACCAAGATTTTTTAAGTGTTTAATAAAAGTGCTGGATTTGAGGGTGATTTCGTTCCCGGCAAAATATTTTGACATATACATCAAATAGAAGACATAAATACAGGCTAATTTGTTTATAAAAAATTCATTTGCTTGCATTTTAAGTCAGTAAAGATTTTTAAGTGTTTAATATAAAGGCTTGTTTTAAGGATAATTATTTTTTTGTAATTTAGATATATACGATTTATCACAGTTTGTTTACAATAAATTAATTCTTCACGGCCGAGCCATGGATTCGCGGCCCAGCCATGGATTCGCGGCCCAGCCATGGATTCACGGCTCAGCCATGGATTCACGGCTCAGCCATGGATTCACGGCCCAGCCATGGATTGATTACCGCTGGCGCTTTGGTTCCCGCCGTCAAACTCATGGCTGGAACTCGTGGCTGTTGTCACGCCGGTTGTTTTCCGAAATTCTTCAAAGTCATGCTAGGGATGAAAAAATTTTTTTCTCGTGAGAGAACATACCAGAACCTTGTAGAGAATGAATCAAAGTTTCCGAAACCCCTCTTCCATTTTCTGAGCGGCCATTGGTTCCTGAGATATTGACGAGAGAAGAGGAAATGACGCATTTTCGTTCATTTTCTGATAACTCAGCAAGGAAGGGTCATCTCGAGGCCATCAAAAAAAGGAATTGAAATTTTTTTTTCAAGTGCATACACCAAAAATTCAAAAATTTTCTATCCATGATATTCATCAGGATTTTGTGCTAATTGTTGGTTGGAAAATTTATCGCAAGATCTATAAACTAGACACTTCAAGCTTAAAATTGCTTTTTTTTTTTCATTCATGTACGACAATTTTTACCAAAGATACAGCCACTCGAAAATTCGCAAAAAATCGAATTTTTTTTTGATCCCATAATTTTTTCCACTAGTGTAGAACACACATGAATAAAAAAATCAAATACAAAATACAAAATGAGACTGGCATATTAGGTATATACACCTAGGCCATAAAACAAAAAAAAACTTTCCCAAATGGAAACTTTTTAACCAGTATTATGTTGTAGGTCCAACCTATTTGTATCAAAATAGATAGACCATTTTTGGACATTTCAGTAACCACAATAGGATCAACATTCATTAGCGATATGTTTTACTTTCTTTTTGCTCCTGTAACGAACTATAAGCTTACCTTTCTGGTACCATTTGAGAAAACGAGTATGTCAGATGATGAATTTAGTGAAGTCGTTCGTCAAAATATGGCTACATCATTGAAGGTAAGTTTCCGTAATTGATCCACTTGTATTGTTTTAAGAGTGACGAAAATAACATTTCTTTTTGAAGAGAGAGAGAATAGATTACCACGTGGCGCAGCCGAGACTAGATAATGTTCGAGAGCATCTAAAAATTATTTTTTGTCGAGTCAAATACTATACTTTTTGTACTGACATGCTTGTGTTATATAGTGTGCCTACTTAAGTTGTCAGCATATGGAAAAATTCGTTTTCCTACGACCACTTAGGAAAGTGACACATATCACACTATATAGTCCTATGGAAAGTGCCCTATATCACACGCATATGAATAAGAATTTACTTTCCACCCGAGTGAGAATATGTTACTTTCCGCAGTAGTTGTCACAAAATGTCAAACACCTAATTTCTATTTTGATCTATGCAATGTTCATATTAATACTAAAATCGATATTTTTTTTATGACAGGATTAATTGCAGTAATAACATGATTAATTACAACAATAAACAAATTATAAATTAATCATAGGTAAATAAGTTAGCACCCAGGTGTGGGCACCTGTATGTGCTAGACAGACTAAAAAACTAAAATATAAAGTTAATGTATTTTTATATAAATGTTAAATGTAATAAGGCAGCAATGTTATATTATATAATATGTAATAATGTTATAATCTTGTAATCTACAGGGTTCCAACATATTGCAGTGAGATGTGTGTTATTCTAAGAAGAATCTATACAATTTTGAGTAGTTTTGGTAGATGAAGGATTTGCACGCTTTCTTAAATAAATGTTTGTTAATTAATTTGATCTCAGGAGGTAAAGCATTGTAACACTTTGGTCCTAAGTAATTTATACAATTTTTGAAAGATTCACTATTAGGCATAGATATTTTAATATTCAAGTTACTAAAAGTTCTGGTTTTATGTTGATGACCCAGAGGTTTTTTTAGTACCTCATGTTTTTGTATGTAACATCATATTGTGTTCATGTATAAACTTCTAACATTAGATATTGTTTCATTATATAGTAGAATAGTAGGATATAATCGCTGTTTGTTGAAAATAATTTTCAGTATTTTATTTTGTATGACATTTAGTGGTCTAAGGGTTGTATGATTGTTAAATTATTGAAATCGTTGTAAATTAGATCCTAGATATTTATCTTTAACAATTATTATTAAAATAATTTTAAAATAATGTTTGCTCTTTATTCTGGTTAAATACATAACTGATTAGATCATTTAATTGACACAAGGGCTATTAGCTCAGGTGGTTAGGACGTCGAACTTATCAACTTTGCCATTGTTCGACCGCGTTTTTTTTTATTTTTTTTTTTTTATTTATTTTTTTTTTATTTATTTTTTTATTTTTTTTTTTTTGTTTAGAAAATATGAAAATTGAATAAATACGATTATTGTTGATTATTTTTTTAAATACATTTTAATTATTATAGTAATAATAACCTTGGTTTTACATTTTTTTGATGACATTATTTTGTGGTCGTAGGAAAAATATTGTACATCGCTTGTGTGAAAAATGTCACTTTCCACACTCGTAATGTAATATACTATATTATTAGTTTTACAAAAAAAGTTATTTTTGATAAAAAGTCCTGCTTCACTCACATAAATTGATACTCAAGAATCAAATTGGGAAAATAAAAAATTATGATTTATTCAAAATATTAATATTTGGTTTTCCAAATTTTTACGGAATTAAAAATGAACAATGGCGTTACAGTAAAAATTAATAATTTAATAATTGTCATTTATTGAACTGAAAATTCAGTCCAATAGGCTATCGACCGAAGTCCTTCTGCTTTAAAAATTAATAATAAATAAAGTTTCCCTTAATGGGCCATGTTCACATGTGAGATATGCTGTTTTATAAATTATATTGTAATAGTTAGTCGCTATACAAGTTATTCTAAATAGTCAGTTCGTTAAAAAAGCCAAAAGTTTTTAAATTAAGCCCAATTGAAATTTAAAATTTGAAATTATACGTCATCGGGAATAGACCAATCATCTTGTGTCGAAGTTTTTTTTGTTATACAAAACCAAGCCAACGAACAAACCGACACACAGAATGTCGAAGTGAACGCACATCTAAGTGACATTAAAATTGACAGCACCTAACCTTAGTTTTTTGTTTTGGTCAGGGCTGGTATCCAGCCCTGGTTTTGGTTTAATTTTATTATTAATATGAATCAGCTGGATTTATAAAAGTTGAATCAAGTGTTTTACCCATTGTAAACGAAAATATGATTACCGAGATGATTACTGCATTTTTTAACAATACTCAGTTTACAAAAGTTAGAAAGGTAAGACTTTGTTTTAATAGTAGGTAGTTACAGTTTATATGGAGCAAGTAAAACGTATTTATCTCAGGTTTTATTTTTAGATCTGCCAAGCAAGAATATGGGGATAATTTCTTTTTCCATAAGAGACAAGGAGACAAATTACACCTAAACATAAAGTACGGCAAAAACCTTCTGATGTTGTTGTAATTAACAAAAATGAAAATTTTAGTGCACAATATGCTGCATGTCAAGGTTTGTAATATTTATTATGCTTTTTTGTTTTTATATTACATATAATAAACAGTGTATAAGGCCCTTTATTACTATAAATATTTTTTTTCTAATTTTGACATATAGACATTTTTTGTAATCGCAGCAAGTGTTAAAATAATCTAGAAACAGATTTTGTTAGTGAACCTAGTAATAATTATGATACCAAAGAATAGGCTATTTTTATACCCTTTTCAAAAATTTTATGCTCCTCGTTTTTTGCAAAACTTAAAATGCTCTATAGCTTCGAACGAAGTCAGCAAAGCACCTCTGTTTTATAAAGTTTTTTCTGTAAAAACAGCAACTTGAAATATTATATTTTTAAAAATACATGGTGCTTGCTAACCTTCGAAAGAAGCCAGCAGAGCAATTCGGTTTTTTTAAAGCTTTTTTCAAAAACCACACCCCATTTTTAGAATATTTTTAGACTCTTGAAATATTGTAAAACTTTACTAAAAAAATTGCTATTTTTAAATAATACAGGGTGCTTTGTTGGAACAAAGTCAGCAGGACACTTCAGTTTTTTAATTTGTTTTTTTTTTATATATATATATATATATATATATATATAAAAACAACTACTTATGACACATGTTTAGGCTGTTTTAAAATCCTAAAAATGTGGTAAGTACATTTGTTTTTAGAAGTCAGCAAGGAATTGCGAATCTTTTTTAAAATGCCAAATTTCGAATATTTTATAATATTGTAGGAGCCAAAAAACGTGGTGTGGTTTAAAAAAAAACTGGGGTGCTCTGCTGGATTCGTTTGAAGCTAACAAAGCATCCCGTAATTTTTTATTTTATAATACTCAATAGCCTAAAATGAGACATAGCTGTTTAAACAAAAAATTGTATTTTTAAAAATAGCAGTTTTTTTTGAAAAGCTCTATAATATTTCAAAAATGTGAAAATGTGGTGAGGTTGTTTTTTTTTAAGTTTTGAAAATCCGAGGTTCTTTACTGGATTCGTTCAGAGCTAGTAAAGCTCTACTCGTCTTGTTACATAAAATAAAGGCATTTTGTAGCTGGTTATATAGTTATTTTGTAACTGCATATCTAACCCTTTTATTTTTTTCAGTTGGTTGTAAATATGTGGCTTCATAGAAGAAGTGAGGAACCATCTGTAACATCTACTCAGTGTTATTGGAAAGGCTCTAATTTATCAAAATGCGTAAATATTGATGTACACTTGGCTAGATTGTTAAAGAAACCTCTTCATCCACTACAGGAAAATATATCAGTACTTTTATATTCTTAGGATTTGTATATATTTTTTATTTGTAAATAAATTGTTTTTTTACTTCATTTTTCTCATTTTTTATTAAAAGGTTAATAAATAAAATTTTCACAGATTTTTATATTTTTGTTTGTAAACAATAATTGAAGAGTTTTTATTAAAAATCACCAATGTTAATAATAATAACTTAAGTCAATATTATTCTTTCTCCTTTTTTAAAGCTAGTATCAATAAAGATATTACTTTAGCTTGACCTATGATCAATTTTTAAATTTTGTGATATATTTGGTTCGACAGAAAAAAAATTATAACCCTTTGACATTGGTTGTTTTTACTTAGATTTTCATTACAAATAAACGGAACTGCAAACATGTTTTACTATCGTAATAATGAATAGCAACATTAAATTTTTTTTTTTCACATTTATCACTGTTGTCATTTTCATAAAGGATTGGTATGAAGGCACACTTTCTGGTTTTTTGAAAAAGGTGGCAAGAATTGTGATATTTTTAAATTTATCACCAGTGATACCACATGTAGTTGCCCGATTTATTGGAATATATAGACTTTGCTACCACATTCAACTGAACTTGGTTGTTTTTAATATTTATCACTGTGACATAGGCGTTTTTGTCAAATTGTTTCATTTTAAACTGCTGTAAATAGGTGCCTTTGTTTTGGTAGTTTTAGTCCCAAAAAAATCTATGCATATACAGGTACTCATTCCTCTTTGATTTGTTCAAAAAATTAAAATTTTATAAAAAATTACATTGGCTGTTTAAAAACTCATTATAATCCCTGAAATGTGATAATTAGGTAAATTAAATTAAAAAAACAAACAAAAAAAATTTATTAAATTAATATTTACTCTTACAAAATAGGTTCTTGTAAGTTAACAAGCAATTATGCAGATATTACTAAGTAAATGTACTTGCTTAAAATTCACACACGAATGTGGTTTTAACATGTTAAATTAACTAACTCTTTCCACATGTATTCTTAGAGATGCTATTCTTTTCTCGATTCTTTTACTTAATTGTACATCTTCCGGAGAACTTTTTTCATTCTGTGATACACTAGGTGTGGCTTTACTAAAGTGCATCCCATGTTTTCAAGTAGCTGAATATTCTGAAACCCCTATCTGCCATTATATGGGATCCAGGAACCAGTTTGTTTAAATACCCACATTTTTCTATTATTTCTTTATCACTAGTTCTTCCACAAAATGAAGAATAAATTCGGTATCTTCAAAACTTTCAGGAGATTCTGCATTTTCTTCCAGAAGGATTTTTAGGTTATTCACCTAAGAATTTATAGTAGCCTAATTTTCAATTTCCTGAAGGGGACAATTAGCAGAAATTGCTGCTATATCTTGATAATCCGGTGTATTTTTATTAAAAAGTTTACGAGAAACATCGCTAGTAGAAGGTTGATTTTCTTCTTTCCAAATTTCTAGGAACACTAATAAATATTTTTGAAAATGAATGTGAATCATTATCACATTCTGGAACAAAACACTTTTTCGTAGTCATAATATTTATAAAAAGTACAAAATTAAACACTCAAATTCCAAATAAATTCTTGATCGAGACACTATGATGACAGATGCCATACACAGTGCTGCCATACACAGTGCTGCCATTTTGCCATTTTCTGAATTATTAAGTGACTTTGAAAACAATGAAACGTTAAATATGGTAAAAGTTTAAACAGAAATAATACTTTCAAAACACATTTGATATTATATATTTAAAAGATATTTGTTTAACGATGTTTTAGAAGTCTAAAAGTAAGAAGGAGTACACAAACGAACGTACATCACTTCTCGTAAACCTTCTAGCCGGCAACGTTGTGCGCTAGCTCCTATTGGTCTATTCCCGGTGACGTCATAAATTTTTAAAAAATTCATAACTCCGGCAAATGAATAGATAAAAAAAAAATAAAAAAAATGTAGTTTTATTTTTAACTCTACTATTCATAAAAAAAAATTCAAAATTTTTGAACATGCCCCATTGTACAGTATTTTAATTTTTTTATAGTTATACTAACTTAAGTTTGTTGTGGAAATTACGTTAATATTTGATATAAGGATGTGTCCGTATTATCTTCTAATCTTTCTTAAAACTTAAAAAAAGGGAAGTTACTAACAAATTTAATTTAAACAAATGAACTTACTTAAAAGAGAACAAATTTACTTCTAAAACTAAATTCTAAATCGTGAATTGGAAGGTTAAAAAAAAATGAAATGAAAATTCTTACACATTTAATGGTTATTTATGATAGTAATGACAAAATATGAATAATCCATACGTTTTTTTTTTTAGATTCAAACAACTGATTTTACTTCAAATGACATAGCAGAGTGGGAGAAGAGAACATTAACTGAACCCCCTCCGAGATCTCAAAATCGTCCGCCAACAAGATCTCTCAATCCTGAACTTCAAAGAATGAGTAATCAAGTTAAAGAAGTATTACCTCATGTTCCTCTCAATGTTATCTACAGCGATTTATGTAAGTACTACTGTTATCACATTTGGTTAAGTTTCATCTGAACAAATATATTACGATCCAAACAAAAAAGAACCATGTTCAATATTTCTTTCTTATTAGTGATGGGACTTTTCATGAAAAGTAATTTTTGGACTAGTCTGGAGGACATGTCCGGAAAAGTAGTGAAAAGTCACAATGAAAAGTAGTCGACCTTGAGCATAGAACACACACAGTTAAATCACAAATATTTGTATTTTCGTTTTTTTAGGCAAATCATTTGTAAAATACTTCCAACCTTTAGGTTTTTTATTTTTTTATTTATTTATTTGTGTTTATTTAATAAATTATGAAATTCGAAAAAAATCGTATCAGTAATCATTTGTCGTTTCTTCTTTTTTTAAACTGTATTTTGCTTGGTTTGTTAATTTAATTTCGCGCATGCGCAATACACTTTTCCACTTTTGAAAAGTGCTTGGCCTTGGAAACTTGACTCATTTTATTGTGTATAATATTAATTCATATTTTTTAAAGGTTATGTCGACGGGTAAACCACTGCGGTCAAAACGTACACGTAATTCGCATATAAAAAAAAACCACTTATGGTTCTGTATATGATTCCGGTGATTTCCTCAAAATCTCCATTAATTTTATACGATTTCGGCGATTTCACAGGATTTCACCGAAATCATAAAATTTTCAAGAAATGAAAAAAAGAAAGAAATTTATTAACTAGCTAATCCTATTATACATACAATTTATAAATGCTGTTTAACAGATCTTCAATACTTATATGCTTATAGATATAATAAAAAATGATATAAAATAAGAAGATAAAATAAAAATTTACACACAGAAATACATTGCTCCAAGAAATTAACGCACCACTCATAAAATTCTAAATATTCTATTTGTAAATTTAAAATAAGTAATCAAACATTATATTTCAATAATTTTAATTAATTTACTTCCAAACGAAGCATTTTTTAACAATGTATTCCTAAGATTAGGCCGTAGGTAAAAAATACAAAATTATGAATACGAAGTTTTGAAAGAAACAAGAAGTATCAAGAATGTATATGAAACTTTTTCGGATATTTCCACCCCTGCTTCTAATCGTCTTCTGGCATCGGCGTGTCATGATTAAAATAAGATTTCGAATGATGTTTTGATCTAGTCTGTCCCAAATTTCAATGAGTCGCCCTACATTCTCCAAGTTGTTGGGCCGGTTTGGATGAGCATGTAACTGCCTTCCGAGTATATCCCAAACATGTTCTATTGGGTTAAGTAAGGACTTCGTGCTGGCCAGGCCATAGTTTCAATGCCCACTTCCAAACGATAATCTTGCACTACTCGAGCTGCTTGAGGTCAGGCGTTAAAGCATTAAAAAAAAGTTGGCCAATGTAAGGGGTAAATGGCACAACATGCTCCTGAAGAATGTCCAGTATGTATTGTTCAGCATTCAGATTTCCATTATTTAATACCACCAAGTCTGTTCGAGCTGTTAACAAAATTCCTCCCCAGACCATAACCGAGCTCACACCAAATAAAGTGGTATTCATGAAATTGCATTGTGGGTAGCGTTCATTTGGCCTTCTAAAAACACAAACTCGTCTATCGTATATAGCAGGCAAAACCGCGACTTCTCATCAGGCCTCAAATTTCGGGATTCGCGTTGCATCTTAACAGTTTAAACATAAAAATATCGAAATGCATAGAAGGTCACTTCCAACGGGAACAAATCAAATCACTAAATAAAAAAAGTAACTTCTCATTATATATTTGAGGAAAAATCGTAGGAAGACCATATAGTCAGCTAGAAAGAAGAGCAAGTAAGTTGAAGTATAGTGTGAAAAAATACCTGATAGCAATGTCCATTTTATTTGACTCTCCTTCTTTTGGCTGGGACTGTGAAAGGTCCGGGCGTAAGGTTTTCAATGGACGATGATGGTCCAGGCTTAGGCTCTTCAGCACTCGGAGTGGCAGGCTGGGATGGCGGTTCTTCAACTGAAAGCAATGTCATTGAGTTTAAAATAACGCATAAATTACCTTCTGAAGTCTCACCTGCCTCTGACAGTAGTGTATCAAACGGAGGGTCGTCTTCTTTCTCATCGGAGTCGGTTCTTTCGTCCACGTTGCTGCAGGAATCGACTTGGGTGTGGAAAAGACCTGCGCGCCTGCATCCACAACACCCACCACAGTCAGTGCGGCATTTGCATGATATTTGCTGCATTAGTTTGTCAGGAGCCGGGGGTTTCAGGGTGGTAAGTGGGATCAGACCATTTTTGGTTGATTGCTAACCCCACGGCTTCGGATCCAAACTGTTGCCGAGCCACTGATGCACTTGTAAATATACACGCAAGCTATGCTGGTAGGCTGCAGCATCGGTGGGAGGAATAGATGCAATGTTGCTGGAAAACTTGAAGGCAGATGTCACGTACTGCTTGTATCGCAGCCCATTCAAGGAAGTTGTTAAATAGTTAGCCCTGTACAGGACCACCAAAAAATTTTTCTCCAGCAGCAGCAATTGCCGTTGGCTGGGCTGACGGATCCAAGAATGTCCCAACGGTCTCTTCAAGGTCTGGATATTTAGAGAGAGTCTTCAAGAATTTAGTCTTGCTTTGTTTATATAAAGATGACGTCGAGTCGCATCCACTCATCGCGTGCAGAAACATTATGTGCTTGGCAAGATTTTGTTTCACTGCAACTGAGGCGCTTTCCCTTTCCCTGGCTTCAGCAGATAGACATTTGGAGAAGTATTGAGACTCATCATTATCACCAGCACACGGAAAACTGACAACTGTGAAAAGGTCTATCAGTCTAACAAAGGCGCCAACCGGCACTGATGCGAGATTGTGCGATTTGTGGAAAAATGGGCTAGTTTGTCACGTACAGTGGCTGTTTTTAAATCACAGTCGTCTAAAAGTGAGTTTATTGCAGTTTACACAAAAGTCTTTGAAACTACTTCATAAGCTCTTAGAGGGAAAATGAAGAAATTATCAGTATATGCGTATACAGGGTGTTAAAAAAAAAGTGTCACAAAATGAAATGGTGAATAGTATGACCCAAAATAAGCAGAAAAGTCTTAATAAATATATGACCGCAAATTAACGGTTTTGGAGATACGGACCATTTTGTGTTTATAACAATTTTTTATTATTATAAAAAAACAATGATATTTATAAACAATCAATAACAACATAGAGTTAAATGAGATGTTCAAATACTGACGTAGCGCTTCCCTCGCATTGCCATTTGCACGACCGTACATAAAATGCATGTCAGCTAATTCAATATTAGTCTAAACAGGCATAACGAAAATTTATAAAATTATTCACCCACAACAAAATAATAACTGCAAATAGCATCTATGAAAAAACATCGGTAGACTCCGATAAGAAAAGCAAGTTTTTGAGAATGAAAAAAGATAATCAAAAAATGATACAAAACACAAAACACTCCGTATCTCTGAAATCATTCACTTGCGGACATATGTTTATTAAGACTTTTCTGCATATTTTGGCCCATATTACCCCCCGTTTTATTTTGTGACACTTTTTTTTTAACATCCTGTATACTAATCCAAATTTAAGATTTAGATTCTCACTAAACGCAAAATTTGATGCTTTACAACTTTTGTTCTACGAGTTTTTTACGTAGAGTGGCTGTTTTCACATCACAGACGTCTAAAAGTGAGTTTCTTGCAGTTTTCACAAAAGTTGTTAAAAATTGGCTTTTTTCGACTGACGATGGCGACCTTATAAATTGGTCTGATTTGAATGTTGGGAAGGTTTTTCGAAACAGAATTTTATGCTCTTCAACTTTAATAGAATATTTTCCGTACGATGCATCGTTTCCATTATATGAGCGAAAAACTACGAACATTTCGAGGATTTTTGCGTTTTTCGACCTGAAGCGGCACTGCTACGAGGCATCAAACTTCAGATTCGTATTCAGCACACCAAAAAACATATAATTCCGTTGAGAAACCTTTTACTGCACTCATGTTACCAAATATGCACTTTTGATCACCATTTGATCAGACTAACAGTGTATAAAAATTTAAAAGAAATAAGATTGATCAGAGGTGTGTTCATGACATACTTTGTTGGATGTGGTTTAGTAACATTTTTCTAAACCTTCTAACGCTATCTGCAGTTTTTATCTCATATGGAAGGGCGTTAAAATAAAGTAAACCATTAATAAAAATTGTGTTTCTATAGCGCGATTTTACGCGTGAATGTTCATTAATAATGGTTTTTCAATCACAATTTTCTTCTAAACGCCTAATTAAATAATGAATTACCATTATTGATTGTTTCTATATAATTAAGATTAAAAATTCCAAAGCGTCCCTGGGTGGGATAAAGATAACTTGTTTTAAACAATGCTCCATTGCATTCAAATAAAATTGACGATTTTCAAGAAAACTGGACATATTTTAAGACAATCCGATTAAGACGATGATACAAATAATGAAAATGAGTCCTGTAATTAGTTATTTAAAAAATCCGTGATATTTGGACTTCATAATTTCAATATAAATATTTGTGTCAAATTACTACACTTGTTACAATACTTATATTAGTTAGAGCTTAATCAAACATATATCTGGTTCTATGCCAATTTTTTATCTCAATAATGCAAGCAGGCCCTACTGTATATTTATTGGCCAACTTCGGCTGCAATGTTATCATATCTTCAGCATATCATATCAATGATGTTTGATGTTAGGTTTGTTCCAATGAATAACTTTTGGAAATAATTTGGATCAATTCAATGCGCAGGCGCTGATTTCCTATGATCTTGACGGTACAAAAATATACACCAACTGTAACACTTATTGGAGTGTTATGTTTACCATGTACCTTAATTTTTCAGTGATCATTTACTGTTTTGCATTTTTTTCATGTATGTGCTATTAGCCAATGAAAGCTTAAATGCGCTTGTCAGTCCAAGCAATATAATATACTTTTAATCATGCACCAAAATGATCGTACAAAAAACAATTCATGAACTGTCAGAAGTATATGGGAACACTTTATGAGGATCATCCACTGAACGGTCATTTGTTTGTCAGAACCCTTCTAACTTAGTGCACAAGACAGTGACTTTTATAATGTAAATCAGTTTTCTTTGTGTAATTTTTCGTTACTTTAAAGATCACTTTTGGCATTTTAATTTAATATCGAGAGATTGCAATTAATACACAGAAGATGCTAGAGATGTTTAGAATCATTAATTTCATGCTTAGGTGGTGATTTGTGTGGCGTATTCTTTTTGCTGGCCTTTGTTTTATAAGTTTTGTTAAAATTTGGAATATCTACAAGATTCGCCAAAAAAATTATTTGAAATAAAAAAAACGAAAAGCGACGTGCCAATATTACATTTACTGGTTGGCTATTCGCAACGAAGAACTTTCAGTGTCAGCATTACTATATGTGAGCGATGTTTGACTTCCATAGCCATTTAAAAAGAAACTGAATGGCTTATACTTTATACTATTGATTTTGACACATCAAACGTTTTAAGTAAAGAACCTTGTTATTCATCATCATAATCCCAATGAGTATATCAAATCTGCTAAAACATATTTTTATTTTTAGATGTAACAAGAAACGTAGACAGTACTATAACTAATATACTGGAAGGCCGTCTGCACTTCACTCCTGAACAGCCTACAACAAGTAACACCATTAACCAACCCTCTACATCATCTTCTTTATCATCTAGTTCGCCAGCTACAGGAGCTTCCACATATGGCGGAAAAACGTTATTCAATACAGCTGCATCTTCATTTCCCAAATCGGCCAGCGAACGAAGCAAATCGTTTCAAGAGCGCAAAGAACAACTGATAGCTAGTGCTAGAAGACGTTATATCGAGAAACACAATCTGGATATACCGTTTTAGAGTAATTCCTAGTTAACCTTTTCCATTCTGCAGTGATATTAGTTAATGACATTTGTCAAATTTGAGTTAATTCACAAAATTAATAAGAAAGAAGAATAGAAATATTATAACATTTTTTAACACTAAAAACTACAACATTGTTGTTCTTTTTTTTAGAAATCTAACTCATCAGAATTTTCAGTGATTTTAATGAACTTGATCTCTAGTTTTAATTATGCAAAGTTCTTTAAGTGTCACATCCCATCTGCACTTCTTAACAATAACTGATTCATTAGGTTAGTGGAAAACTATTATTTATCATTAACAGATTTTACAACCGGTTGCAAGAATTTTCATTAAAATTTGTGAGTCTGATACACTTTGACAGATGTTTAGACTGTGAGTAATTTGAAGTTCATGTAATTCTGAAAAATCACATTCTCAAGCTTCATTAAAGTATATCGGACTCAAATTTTAATTAACTTTCTTGCAACCGGTCATAAATTATTTTAATACATTAACGCTAAAAGGTTGTAAGTATGTATTTGGTCACTTTAAAATAAATCCTACTCTAATTTTTATACATTTTGCTAGATTTGAGGTTGTTTTATTTCGACAGATGTCATTGATATAATATTAAGGTTATTTAGGATAAGAGGGGAGAAAGGTGCCAATAACGAAGAAATTTTGCCTTATGCTGCACATTTTGAGACTAAGGATACATCTTGGTTAAGTTTGTATATACTTTACTGTTATTTATTTTATAAAATAAATATAAGATCTATTGAACACATTCTTTTTTTTATCATTTTGGAGATTATATCACTCACAGTGTAATGATATGTTACTTTACTCCAGTGCCCACAAGAGCTATTCGATTTTTTGGTTAACAGTCATCATTATTAAACAAATTTTTCAAAAAAGTTTTTTTATTTTTTCCAATCATGATTCTTTACTATATAATTCCATCCATTTCATTTAATGCTATAAAGATCTAGTAGGCATTGTTTTTGTACTGTAACTGTAAAATGAATCATATTTTATTAATTCTTGATAATAGCTATTGAACCAGACCAATTTTAGAGTATTGCCACCTATATAGAATCTTAACAATATTAAATTCGTAAAAAAATCCAATATTACCCCTACGAAATAATGAAATTATTTTTGAACTCGCAAGGAGAAAACAAATTTAATGAAAAATTAAAAAAATTACCCACAGGGGGATTTGAACCCACCTACTCTTGTTCTACGCACATCCACTCTTCCAATTAAGCTATCGCTGACAGAGATTTTCGAATTGTTAAGATGAATATAAAATTTCGAATCCAACCTCGCATTTCAGATAATTAGCATCGTCTGAGGAAACATGCAACCGCATGCAGATGCTTCCTCAAGTAGTCTAAATGTATTAAGTTTTCAATATATGTAACAATGCATACACAGAGAATTGGTTTTAAAGTTCCAAAAACTTATCAGTTACAATACTTGTGACCAAATTGATGTCTCAGTTGGCTAAAAGTAACATTAATAACTTCAGTAGTGATGATACGTCTCTAAAATAAACATTTTAATTGAATTTGTTGTTTTACCAGATCACGTGAGGTATGGGTAAAACAAGACACTCAAGATTCTTGAGTCAAGAAACCCATTTCATAATCCACCTATTGTCTATGAAATTACGCAGGTAAACATAAACCAGCAATTAGTAAATTTGACCCAGAAATTATGTGAGAAAGAAGAGAGTAGAAATATGCTTTTACCGCTATACAGACTCGGTGGTCCACTTGGCATGTCAAGAGGAAGTTTCCAGAAATTACCCTATGGCATTAAAGTGGGACCTTTAAGATACAACATTTTATTTTTTTAAGCTAAAGACATTTAATTTTTAGTTATTTTTTAAAAAAAATCACAATGTTCATTCGTATTTTGTAAGTAGTAGACTGAAAGACTTCAGTTATCCCAATAAAGCACGTTTATTATTATTTTATTTTCTATTGAATGCAACTTTTGGTAAGGGGACTATCGGAAATGCATGAGATAAGGCACGAAACGTGTTGTCAAAAAATATCACTCATCGTACTATTTATTTACAGGTCGGAGCCCATTAAAACAATTACAGAGAATACATATCATATTCATTAAATAGTAATAAAATCCTAAATAATAATAAATTAATTTAAATATATACATATTAAAAAACAACTAAAAATCTAACATCTATTCCTCACATATACATAAATGGTTAGAAAATTCTGATGGAGAAATAATCAATTCAACATTTAGTCTATTAACAGATCTTGTCACTCTAGGAGTAAAAGAATGAGAACCATGATTTGTTCCATGGAAAGTTGGGAGAATGCATTAATATTCCTAGTTACTCTAGAGCAGCAAAAAAAGGTTGAGTATGCAACCTTTTTTTTCTTCGGGCCACATACGTATGTTTGCTGTGTTACGCGGGCCGCAATATCTTTAGATGATGACCCTTTATTTAGGCCACCCATTTAAAATTTGTTAGTGGGAACCCCTAATAAAAAAAACCACAAAACAAAAATATATCCCGTAGGGTTACTGCAAAAACAAGATAACTCACATTTTTCGAGTTTTGAGAAAACGCTCTTCAAAAGTTTAAAAGCACTGTTTAATAAACAACTCCAATGAAAGATTTTAAAACAAGTCGTTACAAATGTTAACTAAGAATCTATCGATTGGGAACAAAACAAAGAGTAAAACATCACAACTTATTTTAGCTGTCTACAAAATCTCTATCTATTCGATGCGTATCTTGTCGAGTTCGCACACAGGAATCCATGTGCACTGTGCAAGTCATAATATTCAATGTCTGTGTCATTAGCTTCTGTGAAAGGTTCAGGAAATGTCTTTTAACATTTTTGGATACAAGTAGATTGATATTAATGGTGAAATTCATCAGGTGTAGTAAATCTGTTTTCTTGGCATTACTTATATTATTTGGCACTTTTTTGTAAGTATTTTCAGCTTTTTTCACCCTTTTAGGCATCTCTTTGCCGGTATGGCTTGGGTTTTTCAAGCAATGTAAAAAGCTGGTATTTCAGTGATTTGAGAAGTGCTTCTGGTCGTTTTAACGTGCAAATATGGAGACGAGCCTTAGCATCCCCACTTGTTACGGCTTGACCAATCACTCTTTACAGCTTAATCAATCATTCATTTACCATGGCTATTCGGGCATCATGTATTATCATCCATTGATTTTTTGAAGGTTAGCTGTATCTTGAAAAGAAAGGGCGACGTAATCATCTTGTCGATTTCGGACCAATCAAAAGGGACCAGAGACGGCTTTAGGCAAAACAAATGGCTTGGGCAAAATGTTGAAGTATTTCAACAAATACTTTCATAAAAATAAGTGTTCTGGCCTTTATCTTGTTTTGACAGAAATACTTTTAGGAATCGGACTAAATACATTTAGCAAAAATAAGTTACATGTATCTTATCTGGTTTTGGTAGACACACTATAAAGGTACCATTTCGGTAGGCGCGACAGACGACCGCCGACACGACCGAGAAGTGTCGCTTCACATCTAAAATACATACAATTATATGAAACACATTTCGCACGGTGCAACACGACCGAGAAGTGTCGCGGAGACACTTCTTCGGTGCAAAGCTTTGCTACGTATCGCACTCGAGGTCACTGTCCTCGGCATAGTTTTTTTTGGGGGTGTTTCGGTCGAAAATTTCTTTCGATCTAGGCAGCGTTGCCAGATTTTGAAACAGTATGGGTAAAAAAAAACCGTAGATCTGAACAGTAGATTTTAATAAAGGGGAAAATAATTATAATTTGCAGTGTAGTAAATAAAAAAAACAAGTATATAAGAAACGAAAAATAAACTTTTTTCTACCCAAATTAGAAAGTAAACAAAGAATAAAAACATTTTTAATATACTTTACGTACGGGAAAAAACCAATGATAAATAATAAGTACCTACTTCTTTTAGATCAGTCTGAAAAATCGTAGTGTTTGGCATATGCATGTTCTTTTTATGATGCCCTATTAATTCTTTGTTTCATTTTAAATAAAAACAATGATTATCTTGATGTTCTTTTTATGGAGCCAACCTACAGTAGTGGATGCTTATTACGCTGCTTTTACTGCAGAAAATTTACTAGAGAAAATATTCTTTAACCATTTGCTGAAGAATGAGGCAAACTTAATAAATTAAGAACAAAATTTGCTAGAGACAAAAACAGTAGATCTACGTGAAAATAGTAGGTCTGGCAACGCCTGTAAATGTCGCGCGACACTTCAAGCTTGCCAAATGTACGAAGCGTAAAATGTATGCACCTGTTGTCCTACTCGACCTTGGGGTCGGTTCAGTGGTCGCTTGTCGTCTGACGCGCCTACCCAAATGGTACCTTTAGCAATTGAACACAATGTTGTGATTATATTTCGGTATAAATGCCACTCATCTTGTTTGTACATATGTATTAATATGGAGTTAGTTTTTGTTGACCATCTGTTTATCATGAATATAGACTTCGTTCACACTTGTCTTGTTTAAGCCGTATATTATTTGAACTATTTTGGAGATAAAAGTGTACTTAACTCGAAAATGCCGAAAGTGGAGATGTTTTGTTTTTGCAGTAACCCCATGATCCAAACGTCTATTTAAAAATTAGCATAATATTTAGCATAGCGACCGATGAATGTTTTCGCGAGTTTCGCTCAAGATTTTAAAAACAAACCAATAGTTTTAAAAAACACCTTCTTAATAATGTTTCGGGCCACAAAAAAAGCTTGGAGTGCCACATGTGGCCCGCGGGCCGCAGGTTGAGTATGGCTGCTCTAGAGGGTACAGAAAATCCAATTTGGGATAACAAGTAGATTGGTTGTTGAAGATTAATAAGAAAAAACTAAATCTAAAGTAGTATTGTAATCATTCTGAAAAAAGTTGTGAAAAGCACACATATGAGATAGATAGTATTAATCGCAGCAGTTTCATCAGCTCTAGTTCCATGTCCCGAGGAAGAGGTAGCAGTTGAGCATAGATTATTTGAGATCCATATGGCCTTAGGTAAATCGAAGTCGCCCAAAATGCAAAATGGTGCATGAGGATATGTTTCTGAAAAGTTTTCAGTGAAAGAAGCATATTTATCATTTGGTGACCTTGGAGAAAACTAAGCAGCTTCTAAAATGAGAGTACTTTTACCATTTCCTATGAGAAAAAATAACTGTTCAATTTCTTGTGAAGAGTTGAGCAAAGTACTGTGTATACATTTGGAAACTGCTATAACTCCACCTCCTCGGGAGGATGAGCTGGTTTGTGCAGATCTGTCCTTGCGGTAAATAAATTCCACATTAAATTAGAACATTGGTTTAAAAACAATAATCTA